GCAGTCTTCACAGGCAACCCCACGTAGAGAGCGTTGCAGTAGTCTATATGGGATGTAACCAGAGCATGGACCACCGTGGCCAAGTCAGACTTCCCAAGGTACGGGCACAGCTGGCGTACAAGTTTTAACTGTGCAAAAGCTCCCCTGGCCACTGCCGRGACCTGGGGTTCCAGGCTCAGCAATGAGTCCAGGATCACTCCCAAGCTGCGAACCTGCACCTTCAGAGTGAGTGTAACCCCGTCAAACACAGGCTGTAACCCTATGCCCTATTTGGGCTTACGACTGACCAGGAGTACCTCTGTCTTGTCTGGATTTAGTTTCAATTTGTTCGCTCTCATCCAGTCCGTTACAGTGGCCAAGCACTGGATTAGGACTTGAACAGCATTCTTAGTAGCAGGTGGGAACTCTTATGTGAGGTTTTTAAGGGATTAATTATGGGTCCATTCCTTTTTCCCATCCTTATATAATACTGGAAGCAGACATTCTGCCATGATTCTGCTGTGTACCTTCACGTTGATTCTGACTTATGGTGACCCTAACACTATACTATCACAGGGTTTGTTGTCAGGATTTATTTGTAGGGTTTTTTCCTTTGCTTTCTTCTGAATCTGAGAGAGCTATTTGCCCAAGGTTACTGTGGGTTTCCGTGGCTGAGCAAGGATTTAAAACCTGATCTCCAGAGTCAATCCAATCATCCAATCTCTTACCTCACACTGACCCTCATATTGTCATACTTGAATGAATTCCGGAAGCTTTTAGAAGCTGAATGAGGGTGAATGAATTGAAATTTAATCCAAGAAAAACAATGTGGTTATAATGGGTGTTCCTAAAACTACAGAAACAATAAAACTGCTGGTTCTGTATTAAGTCCTTATAATTTAAGGATTATAAATAGGTAATCATTATATAGGTTTCAACCTTATATCATTTTCTTGGTGACAACCACAAGTTCCTTGTAGCATACAGTTTGTGTTTTAGTTATTATATAACCATGCTGCAGACAACTTAAAAACATTTATCATTTATGCCACTGTTTTTGTAATTCAGAAGACTTCCAGCTCTAGAAACAAAGAATGCTTTCATGGGCATTATTTAGACTTCTAACACATCACTCGCTTATCTCTAAGACCAGAATGACACCATCACTGACGATGTCTTCAGCTTTCCATATGATTTGTACTATGTCTTGTAACTATAATATTGCCTGTGTCAGTTGGATTTGAGCTGACAGCTTTTCCTTGCGTGCCCCTAGTCTACAGATGACACAGCCAGAGGGGAGCTCTTTGTTTGCATTCTTACTTTGGTGGGTGAAGCAATAAGTCTGTAAATTGGTGAACAGGACCAGAAATCTTTCTGCAGAATTTCTCTGCATTCTTACACTTTCCCAATCTTGCCTGCTGCTAGCAGGAGCACTTTTGTGGACAGAATGAGGTACTTCAGTGATCAATAGTTCTTCAAGCCTGCTTCGTCACTTCTTTTACCAGCTAAATTGGATATGGTTGAGACCATGCAGGCACACTATTTATATTTCTATTTGCCCTTGCTGTGAACGATGTTGGCAGCAACAAGACACACTGATTCTGACAATTATGGATTTACATTAACAGATGTTTCTGATAGTGAGGAGTAGAATGAGGTAAAACAAAAGTTTGGTCAAAAGCCAAAAGACAATGCCATAGAAGAATCTATGATAGTTTTCAAAGAGCTATGAACAGAAACATGCCAGTGCTATTTAAATAACAAAGAAAGAGGCAGAGATAAAGATGAAGGGAACACATCAGAGGAAAAGAGGTTGCTTCAATTCACATCTTCTCAGAGATTCCCAATTCCTCATTTGATCATAGAAATTTCTTTTTTTCTGTCTCCCTCTGCCCTGCCTTTTATAGGTGGCTTTCAAGCCATACATATTTCTTGGTTTCACACACAAGTAAGCCTTGATTATGTAAAGTCTTGCCCCAGGTCAAGTGAATCATTATATACTATGATGATGGAAGTTGCCTCATCCCTGTCCCAGCAATCCAGTCCATTTATGGGTCAGCTGGACAAGATTGCTTCTTTCCTGTTACTTCCATTTATCCTTTGGTGAGGAATTGAATTGGATGAGAGTGGTTTTATTGCTTATATCAGGGAAACAATATAAGACAGTGTGTGTGTGTTTAGCTCCCTAGTAATGAGTGCAGCTTTTTGTCTTTGGACCTGCTCAAGGCTAATCATGCAGAGAGTTGTGTAGAAAGTTTGACAAGGAATTATTATTATTATTATTATTATTATTATTATTATATTTATAACCTGCTCTATCTCCCTGGGAAGGACTCAGGGCAGAAAAATAAACACAATGGCAAACATTCAATGCCAAAACAGTAATAAGAAATAAAACCAATGATTAAAAAACAGATTCAATAAAATTATAAAATAGCAACTTAACTAAACAGACATGATACATCACAAACATTTACAACATAACAACCTCTAAAAATCTTTAAAATAACATTAAAAATATTAAAGCCAAGATGGCATACAACTTCCAACAAGTGAAGATAGGTAGGTGTCCAACAAGCAGACGAGGGTATGTATAAAGATGTATTAATCTTCCTCCTCTCCTCAAGCTAGGGTACATAGGTGGGTTTTAAGAAGCTTTTTAAAGGAGAGGGTGCCATTTTTAATTCTTTAGGGAAGGAGTTCCAGAGGTGGGGAGCAATCACAGAGAAGGTCCGCTCTCTCCCCACCAACTGCGCTTGAGATGGGGGTGGGATTGAGAGCAGGGCCTCCTCTGCAGATCTAAATGTTTGAGCTGGTCTGTATGCCTAGATGTGGTTTTTCAAATAGTCTGGGCCTTAGCTGCAATAAGATGTCCTGAAGGTGACTTGTGATATGTGAGAGCTGAGCACTCAGTCTTACCAATCTTGATAATAAACTCTTGTGACTGTCGAGGAAACCATGGTAAGAAGTTAGAGCTTTTGCCCTCACAACTAACATCATCGCTGTCCCTTTCCCCAGTTGCCCAGCTAAACTTTGTTCCAGGGTGATAAGATAGGAATTTCTTTCAACAAATATATATATATTAGTTGAAATAAGTCATATTATAGCCCATTAATAATAAATCATAATTGTTGAATGATCTCCCCATACAAACATAGATAGTCCTATTACAAAAAGTCTATCAAAAGTTGTCTTTTCTCTTTAACGTATGATGGTGCACAACACTGTTACAGGTGGGCTCAATCTCTTCAGACCATGCCCAGAAACCACCTTACCTTTGTTATCTTCAGTTATTTATTCTCACTACCTCTTTTGTCTGTGTTCAAATAAATTTGAGCATTTTGCAGAAGTATACAAGTATTTTACTTCAAGCCTGCATTAACCAGTGTAAGATTGTTTAGGGGGCTATATATGTGTGTATGAGGTGTATATATCCTATTTTATTTTACAAATTGACAGTAGCATTGTCTCCTGAATTATGGACATCACTTTATTCAGAGAAGGGGATGGTTCATTTTTTTGATGAGAGTTAAGGTACAGTAGACACATTGATGTATGTGTAAGTTCACCCAGGTTTTGGGTTTTCTAGATTTAAATATGAGCATATAAGGTAAACCACAGATTTCGACTGAAACAGCCTGTATTGTTTACAACAAATCTTGTCTTGAGTAGTATAACATAATCAACTTAATTTTGTTGTTGTGTGACTTCAAGTCATTTCTGCTTCATGACGACCCTAAGGCAACCCTATCCAGCATTTTCTTGGTAGAATTAATTCATAGGGGATTTACCTTTGCCTTCTTCTGAGACTGAAAGAGTGTGAGAGACAGAGAGACTCAGAACTCTTGGATTTACAACAGAAAATACCCAAATTACAATTCCCACCTAAGAAAGTGAAGAAACAAAATAACAAAGCACGATTGATGTGAAGAAACCATATTTTACCAGACAAATCAAAAGCACAAAATTTCAAAACATCAGTATGCAAAAGAATCTTGTAGCATGTTGGAATCTAACTGAAAAACCAAAGTTGGTGTCATATTCTTTCATATATGAGCCAAACTTCTTCAAATACATGGAGTGAAGTTTGGTAGCATAAGTTTCATAGACAAAATCTGATTCCTCGATGCATCTGAAGAAGTGCATCTACATCAGTGGTTTTCAACTTGTGAGTCCCCTGGTGTTTTGGCCTACAACTCTCAGAAATCCCAGCCAGTTTACCAGCTGTTTGGCTTTCTAGGAGTTGAAGGTCAAAACATCTGAAGACACACAGTGAGAACCACAGATCTGCATTAAATAATTAATACAGTTTGACACCACTTTAAGTGACCTGGCTCAATGCTGTGGGATCCTGGAATTTGTTGTTTGGTGAAGCATTAAGACTCTTTGGCAGAGAAGACCAAACATCTTCTAAAACTACAGCTCTTGTAATTCCATAGTATGTAACCAGGCAGTTAAAGTGGTCTCAACTGCATCCATTTTACAGTGTAGATGAATCTATGAAAGATTATGCTACTAACTTGTTGTCTTAGTTAATCTCTCAGGTGCTACAACATGCCTTTGTATACTGTTTTATTCTGACTGTGTTCATGCATGCGTGTGTTTGTGTGTAAGAGAGAGTTTGAGAATTCAAATTGCCAACTATCTGTCCTCTGTTGATTGTTTTAATTTATTGCTTTTATATATTTTTAATGTTTATCCCACACTGCATGCTGCTTTTTTATGAGAAAAGCAGGATATCAGTGTTTCAATAAGATAAATGATGCAAGGATTGAGACCACAAATCCTTAATTATTTTTTTCCCATTATATTTTTAGGTGGAACCCTTTGGCTTGGGGTTGGGTTTTGTGAAGGCACTTTTTAGTTGGTTTGAACATGAAGATAATCTTCTACAATTTTATGCTTTGATATTATCCTTCAAATATCTCTTGTTACAGTAGTTTGTGGATTGACCCTGTGAACAAGGTAAATTTGGGAATTTTTTGGAGTAATAAGTGTGACAATGATTTGTTTTTGTTCAGCTGAAGAAGATTGGTGGTGGAGGCTTTGGGGAGATCTATGAAGCAATGGATCTCTTGACCCGTGAGAATGTGGCACTGAAGGTGGAGTCAGCTCAGCAACCAAAGCAAGTTCTCAAGATGGAGGTGGCTGTCCTAAAAAAGCTACAAGGTAGGAGATAACATTGTTGTGCAAGGTTGTGTTTTGTGGCTTGCCGTGAAATCTGACATTGTGAGGAATATAGCCAATATTATTTTGTTAGACCTGTGCACACAAGTAAAGAAGAAGCTGCGTTTCTGTGAATTTTCCAGGCTGTATGGCCATGTCCCAGGAGCAATCTCTCCTCAGTAGAAGCTACTAGCACCTACAATTCTGTTAAGGAGAACAAAGGAGAAATTCAGATTGTGTTTATTTGTGGATTTGTATTGCTTTTAAAATATTCTCTCATTGCAGTCCAGATAGTGTTCAGTCCTCAGTGGTTTCTGCTGATACATAAATTGTTTCTTCAGCTCTTAGATGACGATTCATATAATTAACTAGTTCTGAACATTGACTCTGTAGTTGTTGCACTACTGGCTTCATTTTTAAGGATTCTGTGAGCTGTGGTCCAGTCACAACTAGCACCATTTCCTTATATCTTGTTTTGCAAAAAAAGCTCAGGTATTGGTGAACCTGATAGGAATAGAGTTTAGAGTTGAGGGGAAATCTCTATCAGAAAGTGCTGAATTATATAAATGTAGAGCCAGTAATAGACAAAACTGTGTTGTTTCTTTTTATTTATCTGTTATGCTGTTAGCAATTCTCACCTTCTCAGGTCTAGTGTGTTTTGCTATAGTACTCTAACCCATTTTGTTCACTTGCTTAACTTTCTTCCATCATGGAATACATGACCATTCCATCATAGTGCTTTTCAGGTCGGTTTATTTTCACGTTTCCAAACAGTTTTTCAACTGAGAAAACTTGGTATGTTGCAGAATATTCAGAGAAGTACACTACATTGCTTAGTTTGTGTGTGTGACCAAATTACAGGAAAGGAGATTCCACCTGAACATTAGGAGGAACTTCCTGACCCTACGAGCTGTACAGCACTGGAACTATCTGCCTCAGAGTGTGGTGGAAGCTCTTTCATTGGAAACTTTTAAACAGAGGTTGGATGGCCATCTGTCAGGGCTACTTTGATTGTGCTTTTCTTGCATGGCATGAGGTTAGACTAGATGGCTCATGTGGTCTCTTTCAGATCTATGATTATATGATTCTAAATACCATTGAGGATACAGAGTAAAAAACACTCCCTTGCTGCTTAATACTGCCAAGCTATTTTTAAAAACATATTTTCTACGGTATTGTCAAAGGCTTTCATGGCCGGAATCACTGTGTTGTTGTAGGTTTTTTCGAGTTGTATGGCCATATTCTAGAAGCATTGTCTCCTGACATTTCGCCTGCATCTGTGGCGAGCATCCTCAGAGGTTGTGAGGTTTTATTTTCTACTATTACTGATCTTTCCACGAGTACCTGGAAAACAATTTGAAAACTGCTTTCCTGATTGAATAGTAAACACAATCTGTCAAAGGTTTGACTGATTACATATTGTGATATTTATCTTCATTCATTGCAGGGAAAGATCATGTTTGCAGATTTATTGGTTGTGGCAGGAATGAGAAGTTTAACTATGTTGTCATGCAACTTCAGGTGAGTACTTGTTTATTCCACATTTCTGGATTCCACAAATATTATTTCAGAATTACTACTTGTGGCAAAGCATCTTTTTGGCATTTTCACATTTGTGTACAAACACTATGTAAAAATTCCTTCCCTTTCTCTGGGCACATCACAAATATAGTAGTAGTAGTAGTAGTAGTAACAACAACTTTATTCTTGTATCCCGCCACCATCTCCCTGAAAGGACTTGGGGTGGCTTACACAAGGCACAAGGTGCCTAAAAGCAAAACATGAATTTAAACACAATATAAATACAATTGAATAAAATACCTAAGCATATAACAACAGCATAAAACTCTGAATAAAACAGCATATGAAAGGCAAAGAGGATTTGAATAGGAGATCCTGTCCCTATTAATAGCCTTCCAAAATTAACATTCGAATGATTAAAATGAACAATATAAGAACACCTGATGAAAAAAGTTTGATTTTTTTACAATGTCAGTGAGGGGGCCAACAGTTTGTTTGGTGGTATGAGGAAGGTCTCAAGCTGTCTCTTCAAATGATAAAAAGTTGAACAGTGTTCTTGTAAAAATGACATATTTTCCCTAAAGATATTATAGCCATTTTGAACCCCTTTTGGGGGTGATAAAGCAGGGTATAAATAGATATAATAATAATAATAATAATAATAATAATAATAATAATAATAATAATAGCTCCATTTAAACAGTAAGATTTACCTAACTGGCAATTTAGGCCCCTTCTACGCTGCCATATAATCCAGTTTCTGATCCCAGATTATCTGCTTTGAACTGGATTATATGGCAATGTATATCCAGCTTTCAGTGCAGCAGTTGATTCAGTGAGTTTACTCTTGCTTGAAGTGATAACTGAATTTAAATACCACAAACTCCAAAATCCACAAAGCAGTGATAATTTTATTTGGCCAACTCCAAAGCATAAAATGCATAGTTCAAGCTTTCGAAGTTTCACTGGCTTATTCAACCAACAAAGATGTTAAAATCATACAGGAGGAAAAATAAGGTGACAGTGTTAGAATCACAACCCTTTAGTCTTTCCCAGATGTTACTTTGTTGTCAGTAAAAATCATATAGAGGAACTTCAGTGCTGTTAGAAGCCACTCTACCTCTTGGTCTAGTGAGGACTAGGGACAAAGGTCAGTGAGAGATAGGGACAATGTCCTGGATCTGTGCAGATTCAGTTTCAAAAACACAGTAGACGGCAAAAAGTGGATTTTCGCATTCCTTTTTATAAAATGATGATGGGGTACAAATATTTCAGCACATCTGCATTCACGTCACTTCCATTTTATGTATAGGACTTGATGATCCACAGATCTGAAGCCCATGGATCTGGGGGGTCCATTGTAATATAATTGCAATTCCATTAGCGACAGAAAACTAAGGGTTATATTTAAATCTGAGTGTTCACAACATCATTCTCTCTTCAGTTCAGTTAGTGCTGTTTATATATACCGTAACTATTTTCTGAATTCCTTCTGAGTCAAATTGTCTTCTATAGCAATATATCTCAAGCTATGTGGTATGAGCGGGCAACAATTCTTACCATAATTGTGTGCATTGGTTATAATTGTTTGTTTGTTTCCTGAACACTTGATAACAGCCAGTGGGTCACGAGTTAGTACCACGTCATACGAAGGTGCCACTTCTGATGGCACCTTCGTACTCTGATCTGCATTGTTCTATATCTGAAAAGAATAACCTAAGGAGTCAAATTTATAACTTCCCTAAGATCCATAATTTTTTGGGACAGGAATGGCCTTTTACCATTCAATAAATACACCCCAACACACTTGAAAATATTATATTTTTCAATATAGAGTTTTCTGTCTCAGTGATCATTTCATGGTGTGGCCAGTTTCTGGCCATGAGTCTTTCCAAGGAATCACACACATTGGTTGAGACAGCCATGTTTCTGCTCACAATATTTTTTTTTCTTGAAGTGAAATATAAGATGCCTTGTTCAATTGCTATTCCATAGGCACAGCCCAACAAAGGTGTCAGGTGAGCCTTATTACAACTGATACAACTGGACAGTGTCCTCCACCATGTGTGAAGGGTAGATTAATCTAGAGGACCCAGAGGAGGCTGTTTTGTACAGTTCTCTCCTTCAACGCCATGTTGCTGCTTCTTCCCCAGAACTTTCTGACTGTCCCCTGAGGCAAATGCAGCAGAGGTGGCATCTTCGTATGCATGTCATAGAATAGGTATGTGTGGCAGGCATAATTGCTGCCAGTGGCTTAGAAGGATAAGAATGGAGGGTTCTTCTTCTCATGATCTACCTGAGCCAGCTACCATACTATGGATAATGGTATTGCTGTAGTCCACATGTCTGTTAGTGATGGCTGTAGAATCTGTTTAGTAGATCAGTCTTCTCTAGTCATCTCACTGACTTTGGTCATATTGGTGGAAACAATGAAGTTGAGTTAATGCAGAGATGGGCAACTTGTGTTACCGTTTATTGTAGATTTACAAATTCCATTAGCCTTCGCTAACACGGCTAGGGAATGAAATAAATTGGAATATATCTTTTAGAAGGAAACATGTTTCACCAGCTAATGGATTTTTTGTAATCTTTTTTGTTTGTGGAAAAATAATTAGTATGGACAGCATCTCCGACAAAGTCATTCTTTTTCACTGAGATAATTTTCTGAGCATGTATTCACAAATGTGATGGATTTGCATTCATTCTGTCCTTTATGACAATGCCTGAAAGGCATCAGATTCTATTTGATCTTGGAAGCTAAACTGGACTAGTCCTGGTTAGAATTTGGATGTAAGACCACCAATGATGTGAAGAAGGAACTGATAAAACCACTTCACTGAGTATTCCTTGCCTTAGAAAACCCTGTGAAATTCATGGAATTTGACATTCCATAAATTAAATACATATACACATCCTATATAATAGTGCCAGTTCTCACTAATTTTGCACCATAATTAATATTCTGATTTGTTTCCAAGCTAGATCTAGCATTGTTGACTATTGAAGTGATATAGAACAACATTAAAAGTGTAAACTGAAAAAGAATGAGGAATGAGGGAAATGTTGATTTCCTTGCTCTCTCTTAACAGGAATCATAAGGGTTACTCAAGCAGAAGGGGAAAGAGTTCTTAAACAGATTATGTGGTTCAGCTTTGCTGTAAATGTATCTCTGTTCCTTTGAAACCAAGTTTTACATTAATATACAGTCAGATCATTTCCAGGAGGGGGAAGAATATTATATATTGATGTTCTAACTCAATGTGGTTGGCTTCTGAGAAAGAAGAATTATGTTTCTTAAGTCTAGTTAGAGTGACACAGTCAAAGCAGCTCCAGATGTTGTTGCAAATATGCTCATATATAAGTCAATTTCAGGTGTAAATTGAGAGCAGGCTTTGGGACCAAAATTATGGATTTTCTCTTGATGTTTGGATAAGTTGAGGGTAAAAGTTAGGAGCATGTAACGAACAAATCCTTTACGGTATTGTTGAAGGCTTTCATGGCCAGAATCACTCAGTTGCTGTGAGTTTTTCAGGCTTTATGGCTATATCCCAGTAGCATTCTCTCCTGAAGTTTTGCCTGCATCCATGGCTGGCATCTTCGGAAGTCTGTTGGAGGTGAGGCAAGTGGAGTGTGTGTGTGTGTGTGTGTGTGTATCCATCTATCTTTCTGTCCAGGGTGGGAGAAAGAGCCCTTGTCTGTAAAGCAAGTGTGAATGTTGCAATTAGCAGATACAGGCGAAACGTCATGAGAGAATACTACTGGAACATGGCCATACAGCCCGAAAAATTCACAGTATCAAGAAATTATTTACTCTCCTTTTGAAAAAATACAGAGAGGAAGACCTAAAGAGAGGGCAAGGATATGTTTATCTCAGGAGTGGTAGTGTTTCAAGACATGGTACAGTATTGGAATAAAGAGAGTTTGGATAGGTTAGTGCCCATTCCATTTTATGAAATCAAAAGATTTTGAAAGATATGAAGATAAATTAGTCAAAGAAAAATTAAGAAACTCTGGAACCTACTCAGAGGTAGAAAGCTAAATAGTAGTAGGTTTTAAGTAAGTTTAAGAATAAAATTACTAAATATAAACATTTGGAAAAAAATGTTTTGAAAACTGGACACTTTGCTTCTCAGGAGGTATAGAAGGTGATAGTTTTCCAAAGTAATCATTTATATTTTTTAAAGTAACATTTTAGTGATCAATATTCCTTTACAAAAAATTGAACTCTAATAAGGTCTGAGATCAATAGAGCGTGTCCATTTCATGCTCACAATATGTATTTGATTTTTGCATGGTAAAGACACCAGGTCCCTTGTGATCTTTGAAGCTAAGCATGACCAGTTAGTACTTTGATTGGAGACTTCCAATGAATACCAGATGCTGTACACTCTGTTTTTTTTTGGGGGGGTGGGGTGGGTGGCAAAACTACCTGAGTATTACTTGCCTAAGAAAATCCTATGAAATTCATAGAGTCACTATAATTCAATAGGTTGTTTGCAGGCATGTGCATGTACCTACACAAGCAATAAGCAGTTGGCTGGACCAGCAGTTGGTTGCTATTTATTTATTTATATACTATATTTACACCCCACTATCTCTCACCCCGAAGGGGACTCAGACCGGCTTACAGTTTGGCAAATTTCCATGCCACATTGCAAATACAAATATATAAATACAACACATTAAGCTATTGTTTGTTCTCTCGACTCCTGAGTGCTGGAGGCCTCAATTTCAAGAAGTATCTTCATAAAAGATGATAAAAATTACTTTAGTGTGAATCCTCTGTGAATCTTTGGTTGGTATCACCTGTAAATATAGTCAATGTAAGACAGAAAGTGTTAAAGCCAAATTTATGTTCTAGATATTTTAAAAAGCAGTTGGTAGATGTGAAAAGTGCAGAACAACAGCATGCAGCCACAGTTTATATATCCCTTCTGACATGGCCTATAGCAAAGAGATGCACCGAAAAGTATTTTGGTATCTTCTTTGTGTGACATAGCCATGAAGAAGAAGAACTTGTTGATTTCTCCACCGCAATAATCCCCACCTCCACCTCTGCCAACACTTTTCTTCTTTTCCCACAACTCTCCTCTAATTTCATCTTGGTGTTTTGTTGTTGTTGTTGTTGTTGTTGTTTTTTGCCCCCAGGCTTCCTTGGGTTTCACTTCTGCTCCTTACACTTTTCAAACTGCAAATAGAGTAGTTGCCACCTCCCTCTCCTGAGTGCTCTCTTTCTCATCTTGGGCCTGAGAGAGGAAGAGGTGCTAGGGTACGTTTTTTGTCTTGAGCTCATATTTTGCTAGCTACTAGCAAAACATTCAAATAGCTGAAGAGCTATAATTCAGCTCAATTCAGGTACCAAGAGCTAAACAATTTGACACTTGAGTGTAAAAATGGAAGTGACATTTAAGGAGAAATAAAGTTTTATCTTTGCTGCTTTAATATTAGCAGTCCTTGTGAACAATTATGCACAAAAGGGAAGGGAACGCACACGTCTCCAAGTACCCAGTGGACATGTAACAAGGATCAATGACTATTCACAGGTCTTTAGGGCATATTCCATGTCTTTAGTGATTCAAAATTTCCCTTTACATTGCGTTTCTTCACAAAGATCTCCCACATGCCAAGAAACGTCCCTAGAATTACTTAACAAATTATTATCTCACCTTTCTTTAGGCTTGATTTTGGTGCTCCCAACCCAATGGGTTTCACAGATTGCCTTAGAGCCAAAGTATTGAAGAAGTAATGTGAGTGGTCTGGGGGCAGGATCTCCTTCATTGGTGTCCTCTCCTTTTAGCAAGTACCCATGTATTTCCTAGATACGTTTCTCCTGTGGGAGGAATTACCTGACTGGAACGTGTGATATTCATCATGAATATGGTGTGAAGAAAATAGTTGAACTCTTTCTTCCCAAATGCCAGTCCTGCCTACTAGCAATGAATTTTAAAAAACAAGATTAAATTATCTGATCACAACATACTATATACTCATGAATAAGTTGACCTCATACACAAGTTGAGGGCACATTTTGAGGCTAAAATTATGGATTTTTATGACCCCATGAAGAGGGCAAAGCACCAGCATTGCCTTATGGAGCCAGCCACCCCTACCCGTGCCATTTTCCCTCTGAGGCATTAAAAAAGGCCAGATGCAACACTGCAGCACAGAGAGTAGAGAGGATCAGTGTTTCTTCTAGGTCTTCTGGACTAAGGTTTTGCCTTTTGCTACTCAGAGAAAGTGATGGTTCCTTTTAAAAATATATATAAGAGTTAAGGTACAGTATTGACCTGTTGATAAATCAGGTCTGATTTTTTGACAAATACTTCTATCTGGGATCCCAGTTGACTATTTGCATAATGAATGTTATAACAATAACAACTTTATTTTTGTATCCCACCGCCATCTCCCTGAAGGGACTCGGAGCAGCTTACATGGTGACAAGCCCAGTCAAACAGAGATTAAATTTTGACACAATAAAAAAATTACGTATACAAGCATCATAAACATCATAAAACAAAGCTATCAAAAATAACCAATAGCCTAACATATTGGCCATATACTGAGCTAAGGGGCAATGCAGTTGCAAGGACAGGGCTGGTGGAAAAGTGCAGGAGCCAGATGATAAGTTGGGCTAGAAGAGTGAAGTCAATTAGAGTCATACAACTATAAGGCAGGGACAACGGTAAAGTGCAAGAGGCAGATATTGAGTTGTGGCTGGAAGGGCCAAAAGTGTCTAATGAACTGATTACTCAAAAGCACAATGGAACATCCACATTTTTACTGTACTGGAATGTATTTTCCTAGAAATGCGAGGGGTGAAGAAAGGTTCAACTTTTCCTTGTTTGCAGTGGATCACATTATATTCCATTACAGCTGGATAGTGAAAATGTTGTGTTATAAAAACAATGCACAACTGTTTCAGGGCCGGAATCTTGCAGACCTCAGGAGAAGCCAGCCGCGGGGAACCTTTACACTGAGCACAACCCTCCGATTAGGCAAACAAATTCTAGAATCCATAGAAGCCATTCACTCAGTGGGATTCTTACATCGAGACATCAAGCCTGTAAGTAGTTTCTGCTGACTCTTCTGCCTTCCCCTAATTAGGTCCTTTTCTCTATTGTTGCTTTCTCATTCAATAATAATGAGCTCTAATAACAGAAAAGTTACCCATACAGCTGAAAACAATAGTCTTACAAAGGATAAATTGCTATCTATCAGTGATGCTCCTTTTGCACTGGTTAGGTTTGTTTAAATATTCTAAAGTTCTAAAACCTCTTGTTGCCATTTTGGCTAGGATATTGTGTAGGGTTCCACTCAGGCACGGAAACCCTCAATCACACACTGTCAGCCTCAGAGGAAGGCAAACCTTTCTAAGCAGATCTTGCCTTGAAAACTTCGTAAAATATTCGCCTTAGGATAACCATAAGTAGGAAACAACTTGAGGGTATATAACAATAACAAAGATGAGGGGAATATTCAGTAATTCAGTAAGATAGGTGAGTGCACCCTATGGCGCAGTAACTAACCTAGTGAAACTCCTGCTCCTACCCCTTGTTGGGCTATTAATGAAATGAAGATAATTTATGTTTTTGCTGGATTTCTGCCAGTTGTTGTGATAAATTTCAGTTCATTTGGATTGAGAGCAGCGTGAACATATACCCACTGAAATACACCTCAGCGCATATCAATATAGATATTTTTTAAACGTATTTCTAATAATAAAAAACTTTCATTGGCAGTGTTTTAATACTGAAAGACATTCTGCTGGGCGAATTGTACACATTTGGATGTGCGATGGTATTTTGTAGTGTTATATGTGAAAGCAGGGCAGATCAGTTGATTTTAAAACCATAGTTGAAAAGGACCTTATCACAAGTAGAAAATAATTTTAAGCATGACTGTATTGGTTGTGATTGTTGATAAACATGAAATATACTGATGTGTAAAACTCTTCTTATCTTGTTCTTTTCTAGTCCAATTTTGCCATGGGACGCCTGCCCTCCACTTACAGGAAATGTTATATGTTAGACTTTGGTTTGGCCCGACAATATACCAATACCAATGGTGAAGTTCGGCCTGTAAGTGATATCTTTCTTATTTTTTCTGCGGTTTAAGTAATATGGATTCATAAGAAATATTTTGTTCCTAATATATGTTTACAGTAATTTTAGTTTTGTTGATGAGGTGGAAATGGAATATACCAAATTCTTCTTGCCAAATTATCTGTGATGTCAAAATACTTTTTCTTATATGTATCTATGCTTTGTTTGTATCTGTTAGTTCAAATCGAGATAGAGGACAGAGCCATTTTAATTTGCTCACATTGTTCCATTGGATTACTTTTACTGTAGCTATTTTTTTTAAAATGTGTTTCATGACAAAAGTTTGTATCCAGTGAGTGTGAGCTGGCAGAAGCTTATCGAAACAAGGTGTATTTATTTATTTAATGGGACTTAGATCATTCATTTTTCCCAAAGCTGGGACTATACTCAACTCACAAAATTTATTTTCAAATCCTTCCCTCTATAATTCGCTTTTCACACTTCTGCATCTAAAACTCCACCTTTCCAAAATTTCGGAAAAACATTTTCAGCAGGTTATTCTGATAACATGATTACTGTGCCCAGTTTTGGGTGATGTCCTCCTCCCCTTTGAGATCTATGAAACACTGACCATACTATTTATGAGAGCTAGATACCACTCCATCCTGCTTGGCAGAGATCAAAGTGTAGAACAAAATAACTAGTCAGCCTTCTATGAGGCACCACCTACTTTGATAGCATGAGGTAGCTCCCAGATAGTTGTGGAAAAGCCCAACCTATCTTGCCTCTCACTATAGAGGCAAAGAAAGATAACAATAATTGGACATAAATTCTAATATATATGACAGCCGCAATACAGGCTACATCAGCCCGAGGATGGAGAGATAATACAAGATGGGATTTAGAATCTTGGTTGGCTTATCTATCTGAATATATAATCAATGATTTCATCCATCAAAGGAAAAACATGTATATAAATAGTCATACCGAACAAGACTTGTACAGGAAATGGTCTGTTCTCATCGACAAAATAGACAGAAAGATATAGCATTTTGAACCAGGCTTTCCACACAGTTAAACTGATGCAATGCCATAATTTGGAATTGCTGTTCCAGGAGGATGGGGAATTGGGAGGAGGGTGTGGGTGATACAAATCTAAGGAATGTATAAAGTGTCATTTAAGGAATATTTACTTTTGGAATAATGTGTACTGAGAACTCTTGTATAGCAAAAGTTTGTTAATTGTCGGGATGTATCAACTAAAAAAATTAAAAAATTAAGAAAACAAAGAAAGCTGCCTTTTGATAGCAGTGGGCACCTATCTGCATTCTGAATCACCCTCATTCCCCTCTATACTGCTGTTATCCCTCCGCACAGCATATTTCTCTTTCAAAAAAATGGCAGATGGTATGTTTGCCCTCTGCTATTGAGTTCACAGCTACAAGCCTATATAAATAACTGATTAAGGATCTTGCTTACCGCAATCAGTTGTATTCCAGCAGTATATCAGACCCTGTAGTGTGAATGTTTGGTTCAGCAGGTCGTATCAATTTCATCTGTTGTACATTTATTACTTTTCATATATCTCCCATGTAGAGCTCTTTGCTTAGAAATAAGATGTGTAGAAGGCTTTCTAATATTTATCATTTTGAACAAGTTAAGGAATTGACCTTTATGTTTTTCAGTTTAAAATTAACCAAATTTATGCAGTACAGTAAGATTAGTTCTGTCGCTAGCATTTGCCATTGCTATGCCAGCATAGGTCTTATGGGAGAACACATTCCTGAACTAAGTGCTCTGTCATTCCTAATCTTATTTCACAACACGAATTCCAGTTCTCAGGTTGAATGTTTTGTCTGGGCCCTTCCATTTTTTAGGGAATAGCCCCACACAGCCCCAGTTGTTTTAAAATAATTGAAGCTCTCCTGAAACATGTGTTTTGTTTTTTGTTGTTGTTGTTTGTGACACTATAAATGAATAGCAGCATTTTTGTCAAACTGGGAGTCTCCTGTCTGCATGGACTGGCAATTGTACTTTGCATGCCTCTGTTTCTTCCAATTCAGCCCTACACCATTGATTAGAGCTCTCTCTCTCCTCGTGATTCAGACTGCACTGCAGCAGTTTGCAATCCTTGACTGAGGATATTGTATGTATATGTAAATCCTGTTTCTTCTGTGTCTCCAGTTGTATGGCTGAAGCAAAATATTAAATATTAAGAAGGGGAGTTTTGGTTTCACTGGAATGTTGCAGAAACCAATTTTTAAAATGTGTAGAGATTATGATAATTTTAGCTTTTTATACTCTCAGGTCCAGTCTTATTTATCACATTGGCACAAATACAATAAAGTTGCTGATATGGGTATTTTTCCTGTGTTGATGTTAATATTACTATTTTTGGAAGAAATCTTTGTAATCAAAATGCTTTTTAAAAAGGAGGCCTGTGAATCAGAGCTTACTTACTTTAGGCATCATTGTCATTGCATAATATAAACATATTGTGGTGTTTACTGACATTCTCATCTCTATGCTTAGCTGCTTACTGTCTCCAATCAGGATGGCTAACTCTGCTTCAATTTTATCAGATCTGTAGCAGCCCGACTAAAATTTAATAAAGATAAGGATGACTCACAAGATACAAACATACTAGGCAAATCATGGTATAAACCGTGTAATACTCCATCGCTTTTTTGTTTTGTTTTGTGTGCAATGATCCTATTTTGCTCATTATGGTACGATGACGGGCCCTACTTCATAATTATATTCCTACCACCTATAAGTTGCTGTGCCAAAATATATTTTCAGTACCCTAATGAATATTATAGTTTTGAACACTACTTCCCATGCGGGAAGATGAGAGAAGACTCCCACAGACGTTGCCTGAACAACGTCTCTGCAGACGGTTAATTCTCTCACACCAGAAGCGAATTGCTGTTTCTCAAGTTGCTTCTGACACAACTAAAAAAAAAACCACTGCACAGATGAAAACACGAATACATTGGTATACTTGTGATACTGCTGTTTTCACATCAGGAACCATTATTTCAACCATGTTGCTTTCCAAACCTATTACAGGATGTGTGTATTTACTTTGAATTAGTGTACCTTGTTCTTAACTGGTCTCTCAGGGAACTGTATTAAAAACTTGATCCTAAGAATTTTCATGAGAACAACATTTTAAGATTATTTGATTTCCAAATGGATGTGGTTGCATTTAATACAGACTAGGTACAACTCAAGAATATTCAACAGCACTAGGTACTTATCACATTAGTCAGTTGATTAGGTATGTTCTGCTTGAAAACCATTTCTCTTGTATATGGAACAATAGCAGAAGAAAACTCATTTGCATCATTTTGTATTTGCATTTCAATAATGTCCATTCCCATTTTGCATTCTTGCACTTGAAAAATAACCATATCATTTACACCACCCTGCTTGCTTCACCTCCTGATCCATAGCTGATTTTTTAAAGGAAGCCACAATTGTGCAGTGAGACTGTTATGGAAATATCCCCATATCCCTAAGCTCAGGAAGGTGAAGAACACACACCACATCACATCTATCATTTGTGTATGCTTTTCCCGATAAACCAACACTTGGCTTGTTCTACTTTTGTATATTACTTTGTAAAGGTTTACTCTTTAATTTTTCCTGAGCCCATAGTTTCTCTCTCTAGATATTATTCTTAATAAAAAATGTACTATTCTCTTTATATTAATTTTTTTAAAAGTAATGTAAATAATGCTGGAGAATGGAGAATGAATATACATGGTTTTCTTGGAGATGCCTTTGAGTCCCAGTGCCCTTCTGGCTCAACAATTGGAAGGAGTCTGGTATTTCCTTGCTGGAGATTCTTGGGAAATCCAAAAGGCAATTGCAAGAAAACTACATACTCTCTATATTAACTATTGTCCCCAATATAACAATAAAGCGATTGGGACACTTTCACCCAGAGTGGTTACTAAATCCTAATGGGAATTGCTGTTGTTGAGACCCCCACCCTATCCTCAACAATCCAGTTAAGATCTTGCAGACTCAGGACCATAGCTTCCTTGAGTCTATCCATGTGGAATGCTATTTCCCTCCATTTCTACCGCCTTCTACCTTACCAAGAATTTTTTTTGTGAATCATGTTAAGTATGGCAGTTTCTCTTAGCTTCTTTTCAGGCTTGATTTGCTATAGGACAAATGTGTCAAATACACATTTGTCCTATGTATCCAACCCACATGTCCTATATATCCAACCCACCATGTGGCCCAAGAGGCTTTCAGTGCCAGGGTGATACAATTACATTGATGCAGTCTCACAGTTACAAATGGCCCTTTGAAGGCAATTATAAGTCTGATGTAACCCTCGGTGAAAATGAGTTTGACACCCTTGCTCTAAGACTCAATTATTTTCTTTTTTAAATACCCACAGAATTCTTGTCCAGCACCATATTTCAAATGTTGATTTTCATTCTATCAGCCTTCCTCGTTGTCCAGCTTTCACAAGCATACATAGAAATGGGAAAAAATTATGACATGGACAATTCTAATTTTACTGTTATAATTTTACTGTTATATTTTACACATCAGAATCTTGTTTAGTTTCTTCATAGCTACCCTTCTAAGGTCTCATAATCTGACCTCAGTCTTCATACTGGTTAATGAATGAGCTAAAGTAGGGAAAATGTTCAACTATTTCAATGATTTCATCATCTACTTTAAAGTTATGTAAATAATTTGTGGTTATTATTTTTGTTTTCTTAATTGTAAAAGCTGACTTTGCATTTATTTATTTATTTTTACTTTCTTCAATTACTGTTCTAAGTAATGTCATACAATATGTTCCAGACAAACACAGGATAACACAGTGCAATTGCAAAACAGCAGTGTTGTGTAATAAGCTTACTATTATCTAGATATATGTTTATGTTGGTGATGGAAGAGAAAGTAGCATTTTGTGTTTAGACATTTAGAAAACCCAGATGTTCCAACAATCTGAAAACAGAAAAACTATTTTATCTTCTGATTTCCTAGTTGAAGACAAACATGACATTTATGAAATGGGGGCCAGTTTGCAAGTGGCTTCCCCTGGGATTGGATAAAACATATCTAGGCATCTCCAGGGAACTGATAAATGCACATTTCAAACTTTGAAATATATATATATATTTAAAAAGACATGGTGTCTACCAGAAGGACAGAGGGGAAGCTGTTAGCTGAATCAGTTCACTTGTTCTTGATTTTTTTTTTCAAGTTTCAAAGCTGAGTGGAAGCTAGACTTACCTTCCATGAGGCTGTCATGAGTTGCATTTGGCTATTACATCTGTCTTTCTGTTTACATTCCTGAGGGGAAGAATGTGTGATGAATTTCAAACTTGTAGTAATGTATGCTAACAGAACTTTTAAGAAGGAATCTCAAAATACTTCCTTTAACTGAAGGGCAAATGTAGCTAATATCCAGATTGAAACAACTGAAAGCAAGGAATTTTTTTGGTCAGTAGACACCAGTGGAATAGAATGATTTTGGGAATGCCAGAGTTGGCCACCTTTACTTTAGAAAGATGACAAAGGATAACCCATGAATGAGGAGGGGAGAGAGAGGAGAGGTAAGTAGAAAGAAATCATAAGGGCAATTAATCTGGTATCAATTAGTGTAGAGTAGCAATGGCCAAAAAATATGTGTAGGAAGCACAATTCCGTGCCTGACAGTCACATCCCTGCTGACCTTTCCCAAATCAGTTTCTAGAGTTTGAAACATTGCATGCCATAAATTAAGTAAAGTAAGTTCTCATACAACATGTGCTTTACTATGTGAATTGGCAATAATGTAATTAATTAATAGAGGAAAACTATTTACAGAACTTGAAGTTTTAATTTGCTGTAACACAATTCTCATCTCAAGCATTCAAAATTGGTAAATTGGTGTCTCTCCAAATCTCAGCTGTTAAGTAGCAAATTCAGCTCCCCACATTTTAGTTCAGTTCCAAGAAGAACCCTGCCAACTCCATCAACCCAAGCTGGCTTTTCCATAAGACAATTTCCCAGGCCTAGCAAATGTACATGGTCTGTCTCTTCTGTTTCCTTCTCTGTTCTGCCCTCATTATCTCTCATCAAAGGCCTGCTTCTCTTCCCTCCACCTCTTGTCCCTCCTGTCACCAGCCGCCACCACACACTTTCTTTTGAGACTGTCCAGCCTCTTCTATTTCTTTCCATCACCATTACACAGACAGACAAGACTTGGCTATGCTTAGGCTCTCAGGAGCAGCATCTTCAGCAGCACTAGCAAAGCTGTATCATTGCAGGAATTAGTGCTTAGTTGAGGTGGAACTTCCCTCAAACATTTCTATAACACTAACATTTAGGAAGGCCGCAAACTTGTTATAGCAAAACTTACTTGTATCTGCAGTTTGGTATCCTTCAAGGTTGCCTTGTTGGGACGGAACTTTGAGGTTCTGTTTTATGATGCCTTTGTTCTTGGAGGGATGAATCCAGAGTTGATAGATACTTGTATATTATTACTATGTAGATGACAGATGACACCCAGATCTACTACTCTTTTCCATTTCAATCCAAGGATTCCGTCTTCATTCTAAACTGGTGCCTATCATCAGTAGTGGGCTGGATGAGGGAAAACAAAGAAAAACATAGCCTGATGTTACAGGGCAGTTAAAATATGGAACAGGTGCAGGATGGGACTGCATGACTAAAAATTCAGGTTCACAGTTTGAGTGTGAATTTATGAAGCCATCACTAAGCCTGAAAGTTAGGTTTCGACAGTGGCCAGGAATGTATTCACACAGCTAAAGCTTGCACATATTCTTTGGGACGTTGGATCTGGCCAACGTCCCAACATGTCTTTAGTTGCATCCTCTTTAGATTACTATAGTTCATTCTACATGTCATTTCCTTTGAAATGGTTCAAAGAGCTACAGTCAGATTGTTAAATAGAGTTAGATATGGGGAGCACACAACTCACTTGCTACAACAGCTACAGTACATTGTGTCCAGACACAATTCAAGGTACTGGTTATACACTATACAGCTCAGGTCCAGGCTACTGGAAAAACTATATGCCAGTGTTTTGAGATCTTCTGGGGAGATCTTTCTCACTGTCTTCTCACTCTCTCTATGGGAAAACTGTGGGAACATCTTGTTCTTGGTGGCTGTTCCCAGGTTCTGGAACTCCCTATCAACAGACACAGTAGACTGGTGCCCTCTTTGCTGTTTCTGTGTAAGCAGATGAGGACCTTATTTTTTTATGGGCCTTTGAGTACTGACCCCTCAGTCAAAAAGGAGTTTCATGTGTTGTGTTATTTGTATTTGTTTTCTTCTTTTTAATGGTTATGCTTTTAATTATTTTTAATTTTATTGATTTAATACCATATATTTTGAATGTTTTTATTACTGCACCTCAAGTCCTGTACTTGGAAAAGTGTAGGATAATAGTAATAGTAAGAACATCAACAACAGGAACATACTTCAGATGAGATGGTCATGATGATGCTGATGATGATGATAATGTTTTTACTTTTAAATTCATTTCTGTTTTGATTTCCCATTTACATTTTTATTGTCATGGTTTTCTTTGGGTTTCTCTTTGTTTTACAGTTCATTTGGGCTCCTTTTTTGAGACTCTTATTGATGAGTTGGCTTCCCACCTGCTGCTTGTAATCATCTCAGCCATGAGTTGTGAGTGAGCCATCCCAGTGCTTCTTGGTTTGTTTTATTTTATTTTGTGCTTATGTGTTTTAATTATTGTTATAGTTTTTACATTTGTTTTTTGCTTTTCATGTCATAATGTTTCCTTTTCAGGATTGGGACAGAACTTATTTCTTAATTCATAAGCTCAAGAGTCTTGAATTCTGAGTTCAAAATGTATTGGAATTTCAGTGATTGTGCTGCATTGGAACCCTTTTGGACTTCGTAGCAGCTCTCCTGATGTTGCATCTAAATTTTGCTTTTTATGCAGTAACGGATTATGGCAACATCTGCTTATGGACATAAAATTATTTTCTTCTAAACTGACAGCATTAAATGTGTACCTTACATTCCACCCATTTTAGGCAAAGTGTCAGTGTTATTTTTCTTTGTGTTTCTCTGCTCTTAGCATACAAAAATACACCTTTTCTAATTTAGTAAGATTAGTAGTTGAAGCTGAATTATTAAATTTTTCTGAAAATTGTGCTCATAATATTGCATAATTTGAAATAAGCCCTAAGAAGCCATCTCCCAATTGGAAGAAGTATTGCTCCAGACAGAAGATCTGTAAGAGTAGAACTGTGAATCTGTGCAATGTAATTAAATCTCAGGCAATAGAGAATATGTGTCAAACTTTCAGTATTGTATAACATAGTATTTACATTGTATAACATAACTAGATGACATGAGAACCTTGCCTTCTTTCCTTATTCCTGTACTCTCCATACCTTCCGAATCTATAAGATTTTCCAATATCTTGGAGCCCAAAACAGTTGGAGTGGGAAAGAAGGTGTGCCCCATGGGTGGTCAGAACCCGTGAAAAATAATGTGCTGTGAATATTTCCACTGCCTTACATTTTCCAGTCCTTGAGGCTTTTCACAAATTTGTCATTATACATGCACTCAACTAGGAAACAGTATTGGCTGATTAAAGTATTTTATGTGCAATATATACGTTTTCAAACACACATTTATTTCCACTTGTTGATTTTCACACTTCATATTTTAAAATCTGGATTTAATACAATTTAGGCTTTACAACTTAAAAATAATAATCTGTGAACCACCTCTTATTAGGAGCCATCTTTGTACAGAAGAGAGCCCTGACAATGTAAATTAAGATAATCAAATATAGCCATGTAGACAAGGTCCTGGATTATGCAACTGAAAAGGATTAAAATTTGTTAAGAGGGAGGAGGCTGTCACAATTAGTTTCTGCTGTCAGTTGATGGGATACAGAACTCGTTTTGGACATTTAACCTCTTGTTAAGTTTAATTTAGGTACAATCAGAGGGTCTGGCAACCACAGAAAAGAATAATTGTTGGGCTGCTGTACTCTCTCCACTCAATGTTTTCTGTAGGCAGGAGATGCTTATCCTTAAAGATTTTGTAAAAAAACAAATAATTAACCTGCGGTCACATCTCCTGTAATCCCTATTATTGTGTTACATTATGAAGTTTAACTATTCTTCAGGGATTTATCTAAACCTTTAAACCATAGTTATATTCCTACTTAGGGTTGCAATTCAAATTAACATATGACATACGATAACATGAAGTAATTGAAATGGTTTATTACCCAGATGACAATGAAAAAATATAGTGATTCCACTGATTTTTAACTTTGATGTTCGAAATTTAATTTTTCTTCTTTTTTATTAGCCTCGTAATGTTGCTGGTTTTCGGGGAACAGTCCGTTATGCATCAGTGAATGCTCATAAAAATAGAGTAAGTATCTCTATTTTGTGCAACCAGTTTAAAGAGAAGTGTTCCTTCCTCTGTCAATATTCTAGTGGGTTCAAAACCCAAGTGGGTTCAAAATTTGCCATTGTAGTTGAAGTTTGCCTTTGGTCAAAATTGATGTTTACAGTGATTGTTTTACAGACTCATACATCTTCCTGTATTATGTGTGTATGGTAGCCCTGCTTGCTGTGTTCATGTATTGAATGAAGAAATATGCAATTTTTTACCCAAGAATACGTAGAGTAGTGCTGGAGGCTCTACAAAATACCTGGAGGGCACATACTGTGTTGGACATGGAGAAATGAAACTGTGGATATGGGAATTATACTGTCATTATGTTCGTTTTACTCCAGAAACTTTTGTATTATAGGTAGTGTGATTACTTATTTCAAAGTTCTGCAATAGTGGCATAATTTTATCTTACATCAGTGAAACTCAAAATGTTCTTTTATGGACCTGTTCCAGTATGTAAGATATTGGCTGCAGCAGATTTCTGCAGTAAGGTTCCAAGAAGCACTTCAAACACAATAACAAAACATAGTACCGTATATATGTGATACTGGTTTCCACCACACTGGAAAAGACTGTTAGTCTGCTTCATCAGACAGTTTGAGAAGCAAAGCCTCATATGACTGAGCTGAATTAGCTGGAGCTTTTCAAAATGTTTTTGCAGGACATCCTGCTCCACATTTTACTATAGTTTTTCAATGAATATCTCATAGAGTCTCAATCCATTCAACATAGATTGTGAAAGCCACAAAATGAAGTTTCTAGAATATAACAACTACTTTCAAAGTACCATAAGTACCACACGATTAAACAGGAAATAACACTCTCAAACCAGAAACAGATTCCCCCCCCCAAAATGTTGTTACATATTACACTATGTAAACATACATACATACATACATACATACATAGATTTCCCATCTTCGGAATCTTGGAGGCTGTGCTCAGTTCCAGCCATGGGTGTGTGTGTGCTCTGTTGCTCCACTTTCCCTGCCAAAGAGCTTTGTTTGTAAACTCCCTCCTTGATCAAGTTCCCGGCATTTTTCTGGCATTTCTTTATGGGTGTCTTAAATATCACCATGCTTAAGCAGTACCTATTTATCTACTCACATTGCTGTTTTCAAAACTGCTAGGTAGGCAGAAACTGAGCTAAAGCCCAGGAACTCACCCTGACCCGGGCTTCAAATTGTCAACCTTTCCGCTGGCCAATTTATTGCACCTGGCGGTTAACCTACTGTGCTAAAGCCTGGCCCTGCTATGCTGACGAAAGTATGTGGCCTTGCAGAGAAAACGCCATGATAGGTCTGTCATAAGTTGGAAACAATTTGAAGGGACACAACAAGTATGTGGGTGCAGAAGCCATGAAGGAAGCAAAACATTGGAGAATACACTGATGAGAGCCTGCAGATTTTATCTGCCATCCCTCAATTTTAATGCATGTCTCTGGAAAAGCACAGCCACTGTTATAGAGCAAGGTTCTGGCTGTTGTGATCTATTTAGTATTCTGTTGTGCTTTTTTCAGTTCTGCACTGAGGATGGTGGTCAATCCTCATGCTTCTTAAAATTGCAAATTCATTGTCCACTTCACTGTCTCTCTTGTGATTTTTGCTTTCCAAGCTGTTGGACTCCTAAGAGGTTTTTATGTGCTGTAAGCCGTGAGGTTTAACAGTTTAAGCATTCCATACCCATTTTAATGTTTTAAAGTGCACATCCTGTGAATGTTAGCATTTTTGCTTGGGGCAGTCACCAACCAAAACCAGGCCTTTCAAGATCAATGTCACTGACATGCCAACAAGTGTTAAATGTCTTTTAACATACTGGAGCAAACACATTAGATATTTATGTTATTAAACATTTTTCTTGTAATATCTCACACATTCCTCAAATAATGTTCTTGGGCTACAGTCCAGTGCTCTAATTATGGAGGAAAGATAGGAACGTGTGCTATAAAACCCATAAATCGCATCATATGCTTGCTCAATAGATAAATTGGCTTCCTTTCTGGACTTTGTAATTCATTGCATTGTTGCAGTTCGTCATCAAAGGGTAAAAACACACTTGAAAAATGTTTTCCGTACCATAATAATAATAATAATAATAATAATAATAATAATAATAATCAACTTTGTTTATATTGTGCCCTACCTACCCGTGAGGACTCAGGACAGTTTCCAACAAACAAAGGCAAACATTAAATGCCGATGTCAAAAGACCATAACCATACAAATTTAAACAAAAAATCACGAAAATTAAATTACGACAACATGAAGTTAATATTAAACAATTTACAAACATCAGATTATAACAATTTAAAAGCCAGCCTAGCAGAGTGTCATAAACACAAGATGTTCTTTATTTTTTGAATAGAAAGCACTACTTTTAGATGCCTTGGGGGCTTTAATGCAGTTTTTAAAGTAACCCCTTTTATTCCACAGTTTTTTAAACACATGTGCCTTTTGCCCCAAGTCAGGATTGAAGTGGAATCAGGATAGTTGGAGGCTGGGGTAAATTCCTGAGGCTAGGTCCAGCAAGTCATTGTGTTGCCATTTTTAAAAAACATTTAGTGTAGATGTGTATAGAACTGCATATTTGAATAATCAAAAGCTATCAGGGCTTGTGAAACAGGTGTTCTATTCAGAACTAACATTCAGTGTATATGGGTAGGAGATGGATAAAGTTCATGGTGAAAAAGTTCAAAAGGGGTTTACTTTGGCATCAACATGGGGCTAGGGTAGTGTCAACACTTTCCCCCCTGTTCAGTGTCTGTATATATGCAGATCTCTGCATATTTGAATATCCATAGCGATATCTGCATTTCAGAAGCCATGTGACACTTCAGTTATTCAAATATGCAGATATCTGCACACATATATGCACTGAACTAATAAAAAATATAGACACTGCACTTGCTGAAGAAGAATGCCAAAGCAAACCATGGATAGCATGGAAATATTTCCATGAAAACAAGAGTGTTTTAGAAATCATTGCTCCAGAATGAGGGATTTGTCTTTCATATGCATTATGTGCATTAAATTTTTCTTTGTCTGGATCACAGGGCAGTAGCCTTCCATTCAGCTATAAGATTGTTATAGACAAAGCAAGCAAATTCATTATTTTAGCTGTTCATTTATTGATTTTATTTTTCTCCAGGAGATGGGCCGCCATGATGACCTGTGGTCCCTTTTTTACATGTTGGTAGAATTTGCAGTTGGCCAACTTCCATGGCGCAAGATCAAAGACAAGGTAGGAAATGTTTTTCAGTGAGACAATAATATCCTCTTAGTTAAGATCTGCAATAAAGCAACAACCATGCCTAAAATTTAGTATTATGTACTGTAATACAGAAATATGCTATCTTTTTATCTCTAGGAGCAAGTTGGTATGATTAAGGAGAAATATGAACATCGAATGCTGCTAAAACATATGCCTTCTGAATTCCATCTTTTTTTGGATCACATTGCAAATCTGGATTATTTCACCAAACCAGATTATCAGGTAAAGAAAATTGTTCAAAACTGGTTATAGAGAAGATTTTCCTTTTCATTGTTCTCCCCATAAAATGAATGAAAGCCTTCAAGCAAATCCTCACAAACATGTTTGGTCTACTCTTTGTATATGAGAAAATAGTTTTAATCTTATTTTTGAAATCTCTGAATTAGTGTTTGAATTTAGCTTGCTTTTTGACTGTTATAGTTTAATTGGTCCTTAAAACCATGATTCAAATGGAATCAATGTATTGTTTGATCTTGTTAATCTTTAAAGGTGTAATGCATATTTTCTGGGTCGGTAAGAGGAGAAATTATCATAATTTTGATTTCTCCCATCACCGTCCAGATACAGGCGTAAAGAATACCAAGAACTCACAACAGCAGAGCAAACCTTTTTTGACTCCCTCTATTTGGCCATCTTAAAGGAGACGAATTCTTCTTCCCCGTGATGTCTGAAATCGCGCATATGGGTGAAATTGCACCTAGACCCACAGCAGAACTCTTGTTTTTTCATTCCTGATGTTTGAGTATCATGTTTCTTATTGTCTTGTGGCTCATGTCTCATTGACATCACAGCAAGAGCTATACTCTCTTTTCTCCTTTCTTTTTCTCATGGTACTATATTAAAAAGCAAACAAACTTCTCTTCAAAAATGTTCTTGGCATATCTACATATTCCTATCACCAAGATGAACAGGAGATTCTTCAGATTTGCTATCATAATGATTTTAGTTTGGTGCCCGCCTTTGCCCTGAAGGCACTTACTTAAGTTTTAGTGGCTCTAGTAGCAAACCTAAGATTGCAGGGCATACACCATACAAAGACAATGTGCTCTAGAATTCCATGTCTTTTCGAGGGGTGTTGAAGGATCTCAAAGTGACCATGGATTACTTGCAGCCCCTCCCCTCTCCTCTTTTTTAATCAGTACCAAGAAAAGCTTCCTTGCTCCATTGCAATCCATCAGTTATCTGTGGACCCTGATTGATACAACCAAGGGAATGGTTTACGTTTAGGAAGAGAAACAACATGTCTCAGGGAAGAGACACAGAGGATATGCTGGTAGTCTCTCATAGCTTTGGCCAACTTCCTAGGTTTCATGATCTTAGTATTTATTTACTTATCGTGTCAGAAACAAATTGAAAATACAATTACAATGCTTTAAAAAACCACCAACAAAGTTTAAAACTTGGCATTACGCTAAATTTCCTTGGACCAGAAGCTGGCCACTTCAAGTGCCTTTGGTGTCGCTGTAAGAAGGTCCTCCATTGTGCATGTGGCAGAGCTTAGACTGCATTGTAGTAAGTTTTCTGTAGTTTGCTCTTCTCCACACTCGCATGTCATGGACTCCACTGTATAGTCCCATTGCTTAAGGCTAACTCTTCATCTCGTGAGACCAGAGTGCAGTCTGTTCAGCACCTTCCAATTCCCTCAATCTTCTGTGTGCCCAGGAGGGAGTTTCTCATCTGGTATCAGCCACTGATGGAGGTTCCGGGTTTCTACCTGCCACTTTTATACTCTCGCTTGCTGAGATGGTCCTGCGAGTATCTCTGTAGATCTTAGGAAGCTGTTTCTTGATTTAAGTTGTTGGCATTCTGGCTGATATCCGAACAGACGATGGGCTGGAGATGTCAATGCCTTGGTCCTTTCATTGCTGGCTGCTACTTCCCAGCAGATACCAAGTGGTGCAATACCAGCTAAATAGTATAATTTCTCCAGCAGTGTTGGGCGTAGACATCCTGTAATAATTCAGCATGTCTCATTAAGAGCCACATCCACTGATTTAAAATGGTGAGATGTATTCCATACTGGGCATGTATACTCAGCAGCAGATTAGCAAAACGTAAGAGCAGATGTTTTCACTGTATCTGGTTGTGATCCCCATGTTGTGCCAGTCAGCTTTTGTATGATATTATTTCTAGCACCCACTTTTTGCTTGATAGTTAAACAGTGCTTCTTGTAAGTCAGAGCATAGTTCAGAGGGACTCCCAGGTATTTTTGTATGCTGCAGTGCTCCAGTGGGATTCCTTCTCAGGTAATCCTCAGACCTCAAGATGCTTGTCTGTTCTTAAGGTGAAAAGCACACATCTGCATTTTAGGTGGATTTGAAATCAGCTGGTTTCCCCTGTAATAGGTAGTAAGAGCACCTAAAGTTTCAGAGAGCTTCTGTTCAACCATTTTAAAGCTCCCTGCTTGAGCAGTGATGGCACTATCATCAACACAGATAAACTCTCTGTAGAATTTTGAAGAGTGTATGTTTGTTTGTTTTTTCATATACTACAATACAACTCATAAATAAATTTTTAAAAGGAATAAATTCAGGGTGAGTCTGGGTTTTCATGCCCCTGTAGACTTGTTCTGAGTTCTGCTTTCCCCATTTGTGATTTTTTTTCTCACCTGCCTCTTTTTTGTACTGCCATTTTAGTATGAGCAGCAAAATACACAAGCGAAAGATATGCCATGATTGCAGGTTTGGATAGCATGACGTACGTATCATGGTTTAAACAATCCAGAATTTGGAAGCCTGTAAAATACCATGCGCTCATTGCAATTTGTGGCTGGTTAACAATACTTGGCTTTGAAGTGAAGGCAAGGTTGGATAACACAACAACCCATACCTGGGCTCATCTTGACATGCAGACATAGTCACTGTATGATATCAAGTGACTTACCATGTTGTTCTTCTTTCTGGTTGTGGGTGAAAATTTGAATCCTTATTATTTCAATTTGGTTTTTTTTTCTTTCTAGTTGATCATGACTGTGTTTGAAAACAGCATGAAAGAAAGGGGGATTACAGAAAATGAGGCCTTTGACTGGGAGAAAGCTGGTACCGATATCTTATTATCTACAAGCACCTCCACTCCACCTCAGCAGAACACAAGGCAGACAGCAGCCATGTTTGGGTGAGTGACACACTCAACATTTACATAACATCATTTTTCAAGGTGCTTGGTCTGATCCGTGAATTGCATAGAGGTCAGACTAAATATGATCCCTGGAACCCACCCCAGTATTCTTGCCATGAAAACTAAATAGATCAGTACAACCAGAGATATGTCGGTATACCATCGGAAAATAGGACCTTGAAGGAGCGGGGGGTGGCTACAGCTGACAGGGAGCTCGGGTATGAACTGGTCCATGGTGGGCTGGTTGATGAGGTCACAAGGAGTCGGAAGCGATGGAATGACAACAACATTATTCAAGACCCATTTTAACTGTAGGCTTTCTAAAAATTAAAAAGTGTATAAATAAAAAGCTATGTCTTAGAACTAAGTATATTACCTTGTCATTGCCTATTTTACAATTCAGATAAAATAGTTATCCTTAGATGTTTGACATGTAAACTCCAAATGCATGACTGATAATAGGATGAATCCAAAGATTCCTTTTGTACAGTGAAGTATTATAAACACATCCAGAAGAGGCAGACAATCACTAGAGATGGGGAGGAAATGCATTTTTGTTTATTTTTTATGCCACTTCCCACTCTCTGGAGCAGACTTTTTAGTGTTCACATAGGGCAGAATGGGGAATTGGTGAACCCATAACTTCCAGTGAATAAGAGCCTCGAGTGCACAATGTTAGAGAAGCTGCCAGCATAACCTAGTAATACTATATGGGAAAAGTCAACAGTCACCTAGTGAAGAAATATTTCAGAAGACATGAAGGTGTGTATATCCCTGTAGAATTTGATAACATTCAATTTTGATTCTATTATTCTTCTCATAGAGATAAATCTCTCAAAATATTAGTTTTATTATTTATTTATTTATTTACATCATTTATATCCCGCCCATATCAGCCCGCAGGTGACTCAGGGCGGTCAATTCTGCAGTTTTATTCTGCATATTAATTTGTTAGATACGTCACAGTTCACATATACTGTATTTACCTTCTAAGGGGTTTGAAAAATAGAGTGTACCATAGATTCAATGGCACTTTACATTCATAGGTTATTTTGTATGTGTTTGTTTTGTTTTTAAACTGATCTTGCCTTTGATAGAGGATGAGGAGGAGGAGGAGGAGGAGGAGGAGGAGGAGGAGGAGGAGGAGGAAGGGCCCCAGCCCCTAACAGCTCTTCCAACCCTTCCCATTTTGTCTTCAGCCTTTGCCAGTCCGGCTGAGCTAAGGACCACTTCTTGCTTCTGCTTGCTCCTCAATGGGTCCATAGACTCATGCAGACAAAATGACTTAAATGTTTCTTCACACTTAGAAGTCATATTGTCTGCATTAGTCTTTTTTTATTAAGCCTATGAGCCTGTTGTGCATGCAGAGGAAATTCTAGACAAATTCTTTTTTTTTCCAAAATTGAAGTTTCAAAAATGGGGTGCACCCTATATTTGATGGTGCCTTACATACAATGAAATACAGTAAATTAAGGCAAGAAACCGTAGCCCTGTTGGGCTAGTGCTCACTCACTAGTGCTAAAAAGTTACATCTCTTAACTTGAGCAACACAGAAGCACGTGTCTATACATTTGTATTATTATAAACAGACATCACAACCATGTTTCTGAACTGTCTTTAGCATTATTTGTCAAGAATGCACCTAATATTTAGGCTGATTAGAATAGGATCATAGATTTGGAAGGGGTTGCAGGAGCTATATGTAGTCCAATCCCCTGTCATGTAGGAATACACATTTACAGCTCTCCTGAAAGATGCCCATCCAATCTGTGTTTAAAGACCTCTGAAGTAGGAGAGTCCACCACATTCCAAGGCAATCTGTTCCACTGTCAATCAGTTCTACAGAAGTGAGTGCACAGTAAAGACTAGTGCGCAGAGAACTCTCATGAGCTAACAGAGAAACTCTCTGGCCTGCTTATTTTTGAATCCTTTGGAGAGGATTTACTGGCTGCCAGTAGTAGGTGCTGTTTGCATTTTAACACAAACATCTAACCTGGTTTAATTTCTTGGTTGCAAACTGGACTCAAGTTGACTACCAAGAGATAGTTCTTTGGGTGGATTCCTGTTATCCAAACATATTTTGTTCTATAGTACAAATATGTGTGTGTGTGTGTGCGTGTGTGTGTGAAGATTTATTAGGAGTAGATCCTATGTGAGTGATAGATAATTAAAACAAATATTTAAGTGTATATTACTAATCTATTCACGAAAGAAAGCCTCAGACAACAAAAATAAATTAACTTTGAGATATGCCATAAAGGGTAGAAATTAGTTAATGGATAAAATAAGGAGAAGGAATATTATGCAGAGTTGGAAAAGCAGGAACAGTATAAGAAGACAAAAGAAATCAACGTGGATCTTGAAGGATGATCTGCTACTCTTGTTAGAGAAGTTGTCATAGTTGAATTTTTCCCCTTTTACTTCACTTCCTCCCTATACTAAAGAATATGTATAAAGATACTCCTTCCTCCTCTATGTCTTTCACAATACAATAGATTAATGTGTAGAACTATTTAAGTAGCATGGCTCCATAACATACATACTATATTCTGTGATTTTTCCAATCTTTCCATCTTTTTAAATCTGTTTACTTTTAATGGTTTGTTTAATTGTTTATTATGTTATTGCACTGGCATTGAATGTTTGCATTTTTACTTTGGAAGCTGCCCTGAGTTCCCACAGGGAAAGAGGGCTGGGTAAAATTATTATTATTATTATTATTATTATTATTATTATTATTATTATTATTATTTCTCCTTTTAAATAGTTTGAGTTTTCCATCTTTTTTTTGAAAACAAAATAAAATCTTATTTGAACGCAAACATGCTTTGTTGCCTGTACAAATGGGTTTTGCATGATGGTATTGGCTGCTCTGCTGGAGTCTATTTGTGGATTTGTCTAATTATATTTTTGCATACTCTGTCCCTTGTAGTGTGGTTAATGTCACTCCAGTTCCTGGAGACTTGCTCCGTGAGAACACTGAGGACGTTTTGCAAGGAGAACACCTCAGTGACCAGGAGAACGCACCCCCAATATTGCCTGGCCGGCCAGCAGAAAGTTTAGGTCAGACTCCAAACGTTGCCTTCAATGAAGGAGAGGTCTGGGAAGAGACGGATGTGAACCGCAACAAACTCAGGATCAGCATCAGCAAAGTAAAGTCATTTAACCTTTTTGAAAGTGCATTGTATACTTTTTCTCTTGTTTTTGAATTTGAGAGACTGTAATAATTTCATCCAAGCTCTCATTAAGAATATTGTTCTCATTACCTGGATTATCCCAAATCCAAGTCTCTAAATGTTGTTTGACTTCCTGTAAAGATAATACAGTAACTCAAGGAAAATACGTCTCCTCTCTAAGAACATGTTGAGCTAACAATGTAATCAGATTTTGATATACATCCTCACTTGCATGAGAAACGTAATGTCTAAAGAGATTCCATGAAAAGTCATAGAGGCTATATGAGCAATGTGGTATGGTGACTGGACCATCATTCAGGGTTTAAATCTCCACTTAGGCTTGAAAACCCACTGGGTGACCTTATACAGTAGGTACGTCACACTTTTCTCAGCCTCAGAGGAAAGCAAATGCAATCTACTCTAAACAATTTTTACAAATGTCCTCTTATACTTTGCTGTTAGCATGGGCAAACCATGCAAAAGTTAACAAAGTACATTGACATCTCAGTCCTCCCTTAAGTATGCATTTTAATTCATCTGAAGAAAGGGAGTGATGTCAGCAAATTGTCACACTTCTGGTTCCTAACTGTGTTCATAACTTCTTCATTTAAACTAGCATCTTATTTTTAATCTTTGTTTTGTGTTTTGTAATATATATATTGTGGAAATATGTTTTAATGTGTGTATTTTAATGATTGTTTTTAGATGAAAGTGTGTTTAGCAAGCTGTGAGGTGAGGCAGGCTAAAAATAAAAAAATATGATTATTGTATTATGATTTAACACTTGAAGCCATGTATTAATCCTTTTTTTATTGTCACTTCCTTTCTCTGATTATAGAGCTGGCCAAAGTGGTATAACTAGGCTTGTGTTGCCTTACCTATTGATGGTATATGTAGGATTGGATGTTATCTATCACTAAACTCGTGTTAAGCTATGCCTGTTCATCATTGTATCTTGTATCCAAATTTGTGATGTTCTTTTTTGGTTTCTGCTCTCTTTCTCTCAGACACAGTGTTTGGCAGAGGAAGACCAGAAAAGTGGGGTGTGCCCCAGCTCCCCAGTACGAGCTGCACCAGACTCCCCTACAACTCAGGGGCGCTCTCTAAGATATCGCCGTGTGAATAGCCCTGAGTCAGAACGATTGTCCACTGCAGATAAAGGAGATCAACTAGAGCGAAGGTTTGTTTATTGTTATGGGTCACTGCAATGGCTTCTTGTTTTTAGTAGACAAAGTAAGACAAAGAAATTGGTCTTTTTCACAAGATTTTTGAAAAGATATCAAAGATTTCTAATTATAAATATTCAGGGGTCATTTGGGATCATTTGCATCTAAAATTAATGTTGGTCTGTGTGGTCAGTCACTACTGTTGGTAATGTCTTTCCTAATGTAATCTATTTTTTCATGTTCTCAAAATATTCTCCTGTTTGTTGTTGGAAATGAATTAAGCTGATTTAATATTCATTGAGTAGGTAAATGGAATAGGGCAACACAACTTTTTTTTATCTGGACAACATATTCAGAGGTTGCTGTTTTGTGATACCTCTGTTGACCTGCACCAAATCATAGAATCATAGAGTTGGAAGAGTCCTTGTGCGTCATTCAGTCCAACCCCATGCCAAGAAGCAGGAAAATTGCATTCAAAGCATCCAATCGTATTCAAAGCACCCATCATGCAAACTTTTGAAGGTTCACTGGCTTAAAATTACCAAAGTATCTTTTGTTAAAAGTATGCTTCTAATATTTTACAAAGATCAGAGAAGTTCATAAATGCACAACTAATAAGTATTCCTGAAATCAAAAGGGCATGTAATCAATGTGGTTACCTAATTCAAAGTGAAAGGAATTTATTTTAATTTGTTTTGGTTTAGGTTGAAGTATTGATAGTTGTTATTAACTTTCATCAAAAATAAGATTTCTATTCCAAATTGGTAGTGCCATTGGAGACCATTTGGAAAATAGCAATTTCCCATTCAGTATTTTAGAAATCATATGCCAGGTATGCACTAGAAGTGTATTGGATTAAAAGCATTTAATTGCATAGTAGCATTCCCCTAAAGGCAGAAATGAACAAACTGTGACTGCAGACCTCCACCACATACCTCTTAAAATATTGTCTCAAATGTCCCCTAGTCTCCTCTAAGTGTTGTGAGGGGCGTTTTCAACATGTTTTGGGCTATTTTAGACACTTTTATCAAAACAGAAAGTGACAGTTTTACAAAATGGCCCAGGAGATGCCTAAAAACACAGTGAAAATGCCCCATAACCCAAGAGGGCAGTTGGGGGCATTTTGGGGGCAAAACACCGTTTTAAAAAGAAAGGGTTTTTACACAAATACAAAAATTACCCTGGGAAGGTCACAGAATCCCAACATATCACCTCTTATACCCAGCACTTTTAACTTGTACCCTTCATTTGCCCGGCCCTGGTTTTATTGCATAAAAGTGTAATGTTTTGTTGTTGTTATTGCTTATGTTTTTAATTTGCTTGTATTATATTGTTATTGTTTGTTGTTGTTGTTTGAGGCCTTGGCCTTTGTAAGCCGCATCGCGTCCTTCGGGAGATGCTAGCGGGGTACAAATAAAGTTTAATAATAATAATAATAATAATAATAATAATAATAATAATAATAATTCATTTATATAAATATAAATAGATATTTCTTTTATATACCGATTTTCTGACCCCTAGGGGGACTTAAAGCGGTTCACAACATAATAGAATGAAAACTATCAGGCATTTCTTCTTCTAAGACATTTCATTCAGTCTGTAACTTTCGTGAATTGTTGTTTTGAACTGGATTGTCTAAATTTGGGCAACCATTTGGGGAAAGAGTAAGGAAAAATCTTCATTTTATTGATATAGGAATAATAGTTTGCATATGTTTTGCAGGTTTGCATATGTTTTGCAGGTAATTTGGGGTAAAGCTTAAGGACCTCCAGTGTCACTAGACAGAATGGGGAAGATAGTCCTTGTGATTGATGTATTTTTTTTCATTGCCTGTAATGTTGGTTTTAGAAAATCCTGTCAAACAATTGAACCTTTGGACAGAGCAATCACATGGATAGAAAGTGGCAGGCTCAAGTGCCTTAAATTATCTCTTATTGGAATGGACATCTCCACTTTAAAAATCCTTTATCTAGCAATCCAATGTGTCAGAGCACTGTTGTTTTGGTAAGGTAGAAGTTTTAAAAGACTATTTGTGGCAATCTATTCATTTTGATTGATATACTATGTTTTAGGTTTTTTCACATAAAAAGACACACACTAATTAATGTGGTGGAATCTTATTGTAGTCTTACATTTTTGTAAATGAACATATGTCTATAGCAATTAGAAATTAGCAGTAATGTTAATGTCCAATAGAAGATTGCTCTTAAATTGCTGTGTGGCAGAACTGACAAAGTGTCAGCACATCAATTCATTATTTGCACTGGCGCATATACACACCGATGTACATGTTTTGTGCATCTGATGCAATCTGATGTGCATCAGATGACATTACTGGTGCCCCATTATACACCTTTGCAATTCGGTAAAGGGATTTTTAGCAGTTCTGCTGTGTAACTAGATTTACATAAAGATATGTAATGTAACAGGTCATACAGGATTTCAGCCAATATAACTATACAGCAGAAGAGCAGCATTTTTAGAAAGAATCACAAAAATCTTACTGAAGCCACACTAATAAGTCCCACTCACTTGTTGTAATTCCTATCACCAAAGATAGTAGGGCACTATCTGCAGACACTGAAAGATAATCTGAAAGATTTAGTATGACAAACTGATGTAAGCTGGCAAAACTACATACTTTTGCAGGGGTTAAAGGCCTATGAGAATGCCTCTGTAAAAGAGGGAGAACTGCGAATATCTCTAGGCTTCCCAAATTATATTTAATACCCAGACAAAAATGCCTGTACTGACAAGGTGTCTGGGCCTATTTGTCTATTCATTTCCTCACTCCATCTGGTAGGAGAGAGGAAGGAGATGAAAGGAGAGAGTGAATGCAGGTACAAAGGGGACACATGGCCTATCCCCTTCCCCCTTTTGCTCATGTGAGAAAGCAAATGTTTGCCACTAATCATTCCATCAATCCCTCCCCTTCTCTCCTGCACATGTGAGTTTGATTTCCTCCCAGCAACACTGGTGTTATCGAAGTTCCTGTTTGAAATGGCATAGTGCTGCAGTGCATGCGGTGGCAAATACATTAATCCACAAATATCCATTAATGCTTGAGTGATAAATGTGGAGGACTCTTACCATAAACATTTTTCACGAGTCAAGCTTTTTCTCCAGAATGTACATGTACATTTACCTTGTCAGTTCCATGTGTGATTCCATGCTATAAAGATATCACATAAAAGGTCCTGGGTTATTGCTAAGAAAGCAGGTATGGGAAATGAATATGATTAAGTTAGAGGAAGCCTTGGTGGGAGACAGACGTGGCTAGTGAATTAGTAAACTGAAGCACACTGCACAGCTGAAAAGTCTACTTGCAGATTCTCTCTACTGTGGATGTGTTTACATTCAGGCAGTGTTTGAATTTCTGCAAAACCTGCCAAAACTAGAAGCCAAGAGTTTTGCTATGACAGTTCTGAAGAGTGGATTGCATGTAATTTCTGATCAACCAGAAGCACTCTATGTGATTAGCATGCACTTTTCAGACCTATGGTCTGGAATTAAAAGTTGGTTCTAGGGCTTCACGTCAAGTTCACTATTTATCCATTTAAGTCTGATATCCAGCTACTAACCATTAGATGCTCATGCTAGAAAGCATTTAAGAAGAGGAATGGGCAATTTCCATGTATCCGGGACTCAAATTTGTCCCCTGACACCCAATTTATTGGTGCAGTGATGATGGGAGCATTTTTTGTTGTTTTCCATCCTATCAGGAGGCTTCTAACCAGCTGGCTGAGCTTCGAAATAAGTTCCATATTTTTTGTACACATTTCAACGGATGATTGTGTCTCCCCTCTTTTTGGTGACAAGGTCTGCTGGACTGAAAAGTATTGACAAAAAAGGATGTGCTTGGAAATAAGATCCATATTTCACACACAAAATTCAAAAGATGATTGCATCCCTCCTCTTTTTGGTGACAAGGTGTGGTGGCCTGAAAAAAAATTGACAAAAGAGGGAGTAGAAGTTTTGAGCGATACTTCTCTGTAATTCTTCTTCTGTAAAGTGCTATATCACCAGTTGGCAACCAAAAGGACTTGATGTAAACTCTAATGCTGAATATTCCACCCAAGCAGAGTATTTAACAGGGAGGGGCACATTTGATCACAGAGATTATATTCCAAAAGTAGGGCTTCCGTTTTCAAGGACTGGGTAAATAATGCATCTTCTCTCATCAGAGATGCATTCAGAAGATTTACAAGCTGCAATAAAAATCATCATCTTTATTTTTAAACCACCATCTCTCCCTGAAGGAACTCAGGGCAGCTATATATATTAGTTATCAAAATATTTACAATTTTCTACTTTTTACTGTCTTTGCAAAGAATGCATATGGGTGTGTGTTTGTGTGTGCACATCTGTGTGCCTGCATAAGACTTTAGTAATCCTTCTGTCTTATATTTTGCCTTGAGTGATGCAATCCCTTAAGCTTTCCTTTTTATTTTCAGGTCACGAGTGGATTTGCCTTGTTCTCCTTCACGGCTTGTATGCTCTTCCCAGCCAGCACAAATGCTCTCCATTGACACTGGGCAGGTGGACAGGCAGGCGAGTGGCAGGATGGACGTATCTGCCTCAGTTGAGCACGAAGCCCTCAGCAATGCTTTCCGATCTGTGCCCCTGGCTGAGGAGGAGGACTTTGACAGCAAAGAATGGGTTATAATTGATAAAGAAACAGAGCTGAAGGACTTCCACCCTGGTGCTGAACCAAGCACATCTGGGACTACAGATGAAGAGCCTGAGGAACTGAGACCCATCGAAGAGGGCGAAGAGAGAAGGCGGCTGGGGGCAGAAGCAGCAGTCAGGCCAAAAATACATGATGGCAGAACACGGGGTATGCAGACTGTGGCCGAGGAGGACAGTTCCCACAGACATGAAGGGCACTGTCAGTCAGTTTCTGACAGCAAACATGAACAGCAGCCAGGAAGCCCTGCACAGTCCCCCTTGTATTCAGCACCAGCTATCCGACAGCGGAGACGGGAATCCGAGCCTACTGGTCCTGAGAGACAGGTAAGACTTGCTAAAGATGCAACGCCTCCAATTTGTTCTAGTACTCATCTCTGTTATGTGTGTCTTATAAAGTCACCTCATTTAGACTCCCCACCCAGGCCAGTTATTAGAGAGAATGTGAGTCTGTTTCTTACCCTTCTGCACCAGATACTCATGGTATGTTATCAATGTTATTATCCCTTTGCACTAGTACATTACTCTAGAATGTGTACACACAGGGTTGTGCTTTAATATGACTTTGCAGAAAATTATGGGGGAAACATATCTCTGATTGAGTGGAGCCATGGCACACACAACCTGCTTAAGCAAAGTTAAACCATCTTTAGTTTTCTGCAATTCAGAATCCTTGAGCTGTAAAATAGTGGAAAATTAATGAAACATCCTGCTACACAGACATTTCCTTTGGGTGGTCTTTAAAAATGAATCATTACTGTATTTGGAACACTTTAGATAGCACAAGGAATCATATAGATGCTAAAAGTTAAATGAAATATATAACCTTTTAGATGTCAGAGAGAAGAACATAGTAAATTATATTCAAGAACATGCTGAAAACAAACTAAAGGCTGAAAACAAACTAAGGGCTGTGTTTTCTTACCAAATCCTCAGCTGTCTTTCTTTTGTTCCCAAATATATTTTTCTATTGGTTTCCCCAATCAGTACTTAATTTATTCGATAGCCAAGCTATTCCATGACTCAAGCCTTTGCTGGATGGTTGAATTTTGTGTTCTCTTAACTCTTATTAATTGAACCCAACATTTTGTTTAAAGAATCAGATCTGAAAAATTTATCATATTCCACTAATATCTTCTGTAAAGCCACAAATCTAACTTATACCCTAACTGGGGGGAACTTCAGAAAAAGAATCAAGGGTTGTTTGCACTACAAAGTGGCCCAGAGAGAGAGTATGCGGTTTTTTGTGGTGGAAGTCAAAGGAAGTTGATAAGAGACAAAGTTAAAATTGAGAAAGTGCTAGACTCATTCAAGCTTTTTGATAATTTGAATGCATATACATGCATACCCATGCAATTTGAGACTTGAGTCCTGATCATTATAAATCCGGTTAAAAACTATTCTAATGATTTAAGTTTGTGTCTATCTTACTTGGTTAATTCAGTTCTAGTAACCAAAAGAAAATTGCACAGGAACCTTATGGGTTCATTAAAACATCTCTGTCACATAGATGAACCAATGTGTCTTATGGCTTATGTAGGGACACCTCACCTCTGTGAGGGAGTTGTATCTCTACATATGCCATTAGACGGTTATATATTGTATTTCTAGTAAATGCTATATTTCTTTACTGCAAACTGGCTGCGTATCATGAAAATGGTAGATAAATATTTTAATTAATAACTTTGGGATGTATATCATGTAGCCACTGAATCACATCAAGAATACACAGTGTTTAAGCCAATGGTCAGCTTTCTTGTTTCCAAGTCTGAAATTCTTAATTTTTTTAAAAATAGCCTGATCTACAGCTACAGTTCAGCAATTGCACATTGAACCAACATCTTCAGTGTGGGGGCAGGGGTGGACAAATGTGTGCCAGTGTGCTCATTGCTCACAATTAGTAAGGATAAGCCAGAAACACTGACTTGTTATGTAGAACTATGGTCAATGTGTTCAAGGTGCAGTCCTATTATAATCTCTGTTATTGTTATTATTTCCAATCAAACTCTTTCAAACTGTGGTGCCCAGACCCAAAATATTTCCTGCTCACATCCCTAAATTTCCAAATCTCTTTTTCCATCCCACTTCCCTCCTACTGAAATTGTGTAGCTCTTCTGGTCCCTTGGATCCTACTGCTTTGGCCTAGATATTCTATATTGCCTTTGGATTCATTCTTGCTGTCTTTATATCTTCTCAGTCTATTTTTGAAGTATCTGCTATTGCAACCAATGACCTTTTTGTCTGCTTCCTTTATTATCTCCGGCACTCCTGTTTTCCGGCACTCCTGTTTCTACTCCATCGTGCCCCTCACACAACATACAGTTCCACTTGACCTTAAATCCAATGGTTTTCTTTTAAAGGCGCATATCTCTTAGCCTTTTTGCCTCATTTCCTCTGCTCTTATTGTACTTTTATTTACACTCCTCTTTGTCTTGGATTCTCATTCACGCAGCATTTTTCCCCAGCTATTTGTATTCAAACTTTTTGTCCCCCAAATTGATGATTGAAACCCATCTCCTACCCTATTCTTGTTTGTAGAGTAGAGCAAACTGCCAGAAATTGTGTTTATTTTTCTGAATCCTATTCAAAACCCATGAAATTCATAGGTTGTCATAAATTGGCAGGTGACTTGAATGTATATTATGCACACACATTCATAACATATAGCCCCCCCCCTTGCCCTTATTGGCGTTAGGAGTAGAATGGAACTTTCTCCTGTTTCCCACTGACATTAAAGTCCTCCCACTTGCCTTCCTTGACCACTTACCTTTATTGCCACTGTTTGCACAGTTTCAGCATATGCTTTTCTTTAATGCTGGGCTTTGATTGCATGCCAGTGAAAGTGTTCTGGGAATTGTCTTTTCTTGGTACAACCAATATGGTTTAATAGCAGCAGAAAAGCTATCACTCTGCTCCTGGCAAGCAGCATGCCAGGCATTAGGGAGGAGAGTGGGGACAGAGCGACGACACTTGTTCCCCTGCTGCTCCTAGAGCACCAGGAGATACTTAGAGTGAGAGGAAGAGAGTGGGTAGATAGCTGGGAAACAGGGATGGCAGAAGCTAGGTTATATTTCATTCTGGATTGAAATCAAGTCTGAGCTGAAGGATAACTTTCAAAGATTGTAACTCTTCTCACCTAGAGAAGAATATTAAAAACCTGCTAGATTCAGTTTCTGATCAGTGCTTTGATACTGTTCAGTAACTTCACTAGTCAAAAAGGCAAGCCAAAGTCCAGGTGCAAGTATGCTAGGAATTATATTAGTTAACATTTAGAGACAAAAAACAAATACTATGCAATTCATTTTTTGTGGGGAGGGGGTGGTGGTGGTGGTTCTGCTTATATTTGGAAGAAAGTTGACTCATAATTATAGTGTTTACCTGTAAGTGGGGAGAAGTGAAAATTCCTTCAAGGAAAGGTGTCATGTAATTAACTACAAATAAGCTTGTTCATCCTATTATGAAAAACATTTAGTAGATGTAGATTCTGTGGCTTTGCCTCCTAGAATCTGTTGTGGATACCAGAGAATTGGCTAACATCTGGTAAGCGGAAGCATGCGATAAACATGCTCATTAAGTCACAAGAGTATCCTATTCATTTCTTTTTTACTTGCTCTACCCCACACCATGAGCTTAGTTTGGCATTGTTTTAGACATCTAAGTTATGAAATCTTCGTCTTTGGTATGGGCTGCTCTTTGTTCACGATTTATTGGCTAACCCATTTGCCAAAAGACACTTTGGCTGTTGAAGTCAAGGTAGTACGTAGCCAAGCCAAATCTTAATTGCTAAAATGGAAATATCCAACAACCTTTTGCTCAAAATCCTACCAGTAGAATGAATGTTACTTTGGTAACATTTATCTAATATCAATATGCCATTTTCTTTTTTGTCTCTATCTTGCCAGGACTTTTCTTTTCCTCTCAAATGTGGGCTTTTGGAACTATATTATATTTTTTTAAGACTCAAAAATACTTAGTCTGGCTCTCTAAACATTTTCTAGAATATTAATATTTGTAATTATGGAATATGCCAGGGATCTTACACTTGCTTTGATGTAATAGAATGTTGTTAAACTTCTTGCAAGGGGTTATGCTCAAGGACTGATTGTACATACTGGATTTTTTTTTATCACACAACATGGGATCACAGGTCCTCTTGGTGTAAAACCATCTGTGTGTATGTTGATCAATAAAATACATTTCCTGAAGATTACTGCTTGAAGTCAAAGCTTTAAGAAGACCATAACCAAGTAACTTAGGCTAATGTCACCTTCATAGTGACATTAATGTCTCAAATTAAATGAAAATGTGACATAATGTAGCAGATTGAATGTGATATAGTAGTTTATTGCTGTTGCCAAGATTGAAAGAAAGGTTATTTCAAGTGCTTAGCAGAAATATATTATCTAATACATTCTCTGAAGCTCTCTTAGATACTGTGTCCATATTTTAAGAAATGTGTAGATTAATTGGAGAAAATCCAAGAAAAGGCAAATAAAATTGTGAGATATATCTGTTTGCAATTGTTTGAGAAATTAGATATATTTTACTTATGAAAAAAGTCAGAGATAGGTATTAACAGTAAAGTAAAATGATGTTGTACAGGGGAATAGTAATTCTTGTTCCTATGAGCAAGTGACAATGAATGTAAACTACAGAAAGCATAGTTTGGAGGCTAATCGGAGAAACATTCTGTATCAATATTGGGACACCAGCATTGCCTAGGAAGGTTGCAAGATCTTTGGAGAGATTTTTTTTTAAGCAAAGTAGAGTTTTCTGCCATAAAAATCAGCAGATTAACACTTTGTTTTCAGTGGAATAAAATAAAAGATAAGACTCTTGAGCACAGCAGAATAATAGTTTAAATGCAGAAAACCCAGGTATTTGACAGCTAATCTTGATGACGTGCTGTTTTCTTTCCTCTCTATTTACTGAGCTGACCATTGGGCTTAACAATTACAATGGTTAATATGGCAAATGGATAAATCATGTAAACTTCAAGCATGCAGTACTCTTTTCTATTTTTTATGAATTTTCTGTTGAACTTCATATTGATCTGTTTAGACAGCCTGGTGGGAGGGAAAAAGCTTTGAGACTTGATTTCATTTCAGCAGGACAGGCATTTTTTTAAAAAAAACACTACATCAGGGATTTTTAAAATGGCATGGCTTGATATATTTATGCATGTTTGAGCAATGGAGGGAGTAAAGAAGACCCAGTTAGGAAGCAAGATGCGGCATATTGGGCAGGCCTCTGTTGGGTGAACACTACCTCCCTTCATGTTTTGTGAAGATAACATGCCTACCTTCTCAAGACATTGGTAAAATGTGCATCAGGATGAATGTCCATGTGTGATAGATGGACCTCGCTTCAGATCATGCTGTGCCCATTGCTTTTCTCTTCAGAAGCACACAGCATGTTAGCTGAGTAGTTATGCAAATCAATCATGAAGGCATGAGGTGCTTTCCTTAGAAAAATATTTGAAGTACTGCATTTAACATATTGAACATATCCCTATTGCAAAATATCATGCTTATTTCAACAGGCAGGCTTTGCTGTAGCAAATGCATTAAAGGAAAATGTACATTTCTAGCCAAATAACTACTTAACCCATTGAGGGAGGGAGATGGTGGGGCATTTGGGAAGGCAGACAAATATAGGGAAGAGAAGTGAGGACTTGTTTCAGTTCCTCAAATCAGTCATGTAGCCATGAGACACTTTTCTTAGAAAAAAATATATGAAGTAGTGCATTGAACAGATTGAAAGAATGCAGTTCCTTGTTACAAAATATCATACTTAATTAACATGCAGTCATTACTGTAGCAAATGCATTAAAGTAAAAGGTACATCTGTAGCTACTGAACCCACCCGAGGGAGGAGGTTTGGGGCAAATGTGAAGGCAGCCAAATTGGGGGAAGGAAAGTGAGAATTTAGGTCACTGAACCTTGATTCCCTATGTTCATTTGATTTGGATTAGTTTGACAACTGATCAACGTATGACCTTCTTTCTAAATGTTAAAGTGGCAGAAGGTTTGGCCCTTTTAGTTTGCAGACTACGCCCGCTTTTGAAACAGTTTAATGATAGAGCATGGTTATTCCTCTTACCCTAAAAGGCCTCTTCGAGTATCAATGTGGGTGTTAGTGTAGTAAGAAGCAAACCCATAGGCTGTATTAAATCCCCGTAAAGAGAAAGTGTTTGCCACCCGCCAGTGAAGATTTCTGCAGCATGTGCAGCACAAACCAGGAGCGAGTCAAGTCTTTGCCTGACACCTTTTCCTCCACTCTTCTTGGTCTTTTGCAGTTGGAGGAGGACAGGCATTCTCAGCACTCCCTCCCGAGGTACAGCCCCCTCAGAAGACTGGCGTCCTCCGTTTTCTCCTCCTCAACCCTGGAGACAGAACAGTACCCTCACCTTGGCGGCACTTTCATACAGCGCAGCCGTTCGGCGGAGAGCAGCCCCGTGCGCATGCCCCACCGCAGGCACATGCCCCTCACAGCAGGAAACCACAGACTCATGCCTTCTGTCCTCCGCATTTCCAGATCCCAGCTCCAGCAGGTGTGGGCCCGCTTCACACACAAAACATAGCCTGTACTGGGGGGAATCAGCATCCTTTGTAATGCAATAATAAAGCCCACCTGCCCCGTGTGTCACCGTTTAATGCAATACTGAATCCCAACCTACTTTGGCCAAAAGGTACTGTAAACTCCCCTGCAAGGAAAAAAAAATACAGAGACTCAGATACACCCCACCTCCTTCCACCCCATCTCTCTTTGTCTCTTATTTACCACCATGTTGGGCCAGAGGCTACATTATAATTCAAGATAAGAATGCAAATATTATACATGTGTAGCATATTGAGGAGTTTATATCAGCACTTCGTGGTTGTGATTTGCAACGCTGAGCTGGTCAGTGTAGGATGCCACTGCCCCAGTGATGACAACATGACTTGAGCGCAGAGACAGTGTAGTTACTGGGGAGAGCTGTCTTCTCAGTAGGATACTGTATACGATTTCCTGTTTTTTGGTCTGCAGCAGTGTCTGGCTACATATGGAGACCTTCTATTCAAATTTTAATCAGCCCTTGATTCAGCGGAACATGCTTGAGGAATTTAGGTCAAGAGCTCAGGAGCTGAGAGGGATTCACAGAAGCATATTTCAAACATCACTCGAGCAGCCAAAATCACTGCTGTTGTTGCAGGTTTTGTATCATATACAAACTGCATTCTTTACCCTGTGGTTTTGCCTCCATATTTTGTATGACTACATAGATTTGCCTGTAGTTATTTTTATCCAATTCTTTCTCTGGCTTTTGTTTGCCTAAGATATTGAGGATTTTGCATTATTGTTAGGAGGGAACTGCCCACTTTTCAAATTAGTGGTTTCCTTTATTTCAAATTATTTTTAAAAGATAGGGATACTAATCTAGGGATTAGATAGATACTAATCTAGAGATTAGTAAACTTGCTTCACTTGATAGAGAAAAGGAATTGTAGTCGATGTATTAGGACAGTATATTAAAAAGAGAATTTTGCCTGTTATCTGCCTTTAGTGAGAGACTCTGAATTTCTTTGAAAAGTTGCTCAGGCCTTCAATACCTATTTTTCAAACTGAGAAAGAGATCTTGCTCTTTTTATATGACGGATAAGAAACAATGGTTGGTGGAGTGCTTGAAGCAGTTTTCTGCCCTGAGACTAAATGGGAGGCCATAGAGACTACCAAAATTAAAACAAATCCAGAAATCTCTAGAAGCCTATTTCTGGTTTTTCTTAATAGTTGGATTTTGATATTTCATAGTGCATAGGGTCCCAGAAATCTGTTTAAAAGGTAAATCATCACTCAGATTTAGGTACTCCTGAGGAATAAATCATACATGGCCTAAAACACAAATGAGGCAGCAGTTTTCCTGTTGTTCCTTATGTCTAAAGATCAGTAGCTTTCTTATCTGTCACTCTCTTCATTGGTACATAACATGAGTAATTTAGGCAGACTCTGTTTGTCATATTAATTAGTTATATAATGGGGTTAAAAATCTTAGACAAGCAACTGAATATTTTCAATATACATTTTGTATTTTGAACCATGAGAAAATTCTGAATCAAACAACACCCGTGTGTGTAATTTTAAAACAGAAAAGCAATTAACAAATTCATTCTAAAGTTTATACCTTGATTAGAATTTTAAAGCACATAACTTGTGAGATGCTCTTGTGTTCTTAAACTGGCTATTTTTGAAGGAAAAAACCCCCCAAAGTTTCAATATTAAATATATCATCAAGTGATGCTTTGAATGGCATAAAATTCTCCTGTTAATTCTACTTTTGATTGTCAGCAGAATTTTCCAGCAGGTTATTTTCTTGAGATATTTCCTTAATTTCATTGTTATCTGTTCTAATGCCATGTGGTGTTATATATCTACATATCTTAAACAGAGTCCTTTTGAAAAGCATTTCTTGTTTTTCTAAAAGATTAGGTAAAAGGCAATGAAACAGAACAAGGCCCTTTCAGAAGTTAGAATCCCTTTGTGGGTGTATATTTGCATATGCAGGCAGAAATGACAGGCTTTAAGGTGATTTTGCATTACTGCATTGCAGTCATATGCACACTTCCTTTAAAGCAATTTCCATTTAACTCTGCCTCCCCGCACCCAGATATTGTATCTTACACTTCCCATCATTCCCTAGCTCACACAGATGATGGGATTTGTTGCCCAATATATCTGGAGAGCACAAAACTACTTTCTGTCCCAAACAGCAATGAAATACATGAGTTAAAGAGACTGATTAATAGAATATTTTCAGTTCATATTTTTCTGATATGGCTACACAATTAAGAGAGATCTATTTAGGCTAATCCAAAAGGAAAAGAAAATTGTTTCTGCTGGTTACAATTTAGTATACAACACGCATTGCAACAAATCCTTTTGAAAGGTGCTTTTTGCTCAGTGGCAGAGAACATGCTTTGACTCTTAGTATCTCCAGGTAGGGCTATGAAGGAATTTTACCTGAATCCACAAAAATTGCTGCCTGTTAGTATTGACATCTAGGGCAGACTAGAAGAACATGTGGTTTGACGCAGCCTCATTTGTTCCTAAGTGCAAGGTAATGCCAGTGCAAGGTAATGTCTTTTGCCTGCCAAGAAATTTGACCAAATACCTCACTAATACAATCTTGATTTGCAATTAATGAGGTTTACACCAACCATGTCTCACTTGCATTCATTGGAAAGGCATTGCTTATCATTTAGTAACATTTCAAAGAACTTCATTTTAACATATATAACAGTCAAAATTCTTTGAATTGGTTTTACTCTGAGCTTCATAAATACCAAAGTCTCTCTATCTGTATGCTAATCAGGTTGTCCTATTGCATTATTTCTTTCTGAAAACTGATGAGAGCAATAAACCTAGAAATTGCTCCTTATATGGACTTTTCATAAAAGACATAGCACAAATGTTATGAGTAAGACCATTCCTTAAAGGAAGGTAACCATTCTGTGTGATACTTTATTGACTTGGCATGACTAGCCTCACTACCTTCTTGGTCTTCCTGTCTTTACAACTTCATAACAGTTGTCCAGTGTCTTTGTCTATTGCCTTCTCCACCCATCTTCTTTTCTCCAACAGCACACCGTTCCGTCGTTCTAGGCCCTTTAAAAGGGTTTTCCCTTAATTCACTTCCTCCAGCCTCTGGCCTTCTTTGCTTCACCCTTTCCCCCATTATGTAGCATACCTTATCTTATTCCTCCACTATCCTGACCCTTACACACAATCCTATTGCTTCTCTGATTCCCTTTCTGTCAATAGGATGCAAGTCCAGTGCCTCCCAGAGTTTATGTTTTCAGGCAAATCTTTGGTTTCCCTCATGACTGTGATTGTCAATATCATTAGAATGACACTATTTTTTTAGAAACTGGATTGTTTGTGAGCATTCTTTGATTACACATCAACAAAGCCTATGGTTTGGGGATGGTTTGCAACACAACAGGCAGGAAATTCCTAAATACACTGTATATATGATAATATATTAGCTTTCTATAGCATTTTTCATCCCAAATGTTTTAAAGTGCTTTAAAAAGACATGTACACACCTGTGTGTATATTTGCATAATATTTATTTGTTTAATTTAACATAGCTGCTCTGTTATTTTTTTAAAAAACCTTATTCGGCTGTTGAAATGCCTCCACATCTAATAAGAGTAAGGCAGGTTGATTCAACAGCCCCAATGCTGCTATTCACCAATTCATAATAAGCTGTGGAATGAGAGTAAATTTGAATCCCCAAGGAGGGTGTAAGGAAGAAGAATGCAAGGTGGTGTGCATGCAGGACCTTGTAGATGCTACCGTGATGGCGTAGGGAGAAGCATCCCAGGTCCATTAAAGGCCAAAGAAGGTCAGGATCTCTATTTTTGTGTCAGTGAAACTGCACCATGGATCTACTACTGTGAATCTGGTATCATGGTTATGTGTAAATTACTTCAGTATTTGCTCCATTGATGAGAAATATTCCAAGCTTGACAATGTTGTATCTTTTTGTACGGGAGTCTGACATCGGCATTACAGTTCATGCTGCTTCAGCCTCCCTCACTGAATTTCAATGGTGCTTCCTTCATGGCTATTATCATTTGTTGCTCTTTATTTTCTTTTGTTCATTCATGTAGTTTGGTTATGAAGCTGTTTTCTTTCTTCTTCTTCTTTTTTTTTAAAAAAAGCTTGTAAGAGTGGATTGTTGTCTTGTGCATTGGAAGTCCTAAAACTGGGACAACAAAATATTAGTTCCTACCAAAGGAGTGAGTTCCATATAATTTTGTTTCTATTTTTGTTAAAAGTAACTATTTCTCCCCTGAGAAAATATATACTCATACATTTGAATCACATGCATACACCAACTTTTTTTTGGCATGTACATCTTTGGACACATTACAATCATTGGGTGTAGTCTTTCCTTCATCCTGGATGGTGTTCCAGGTGAAGACCTTGCTTCCATATTGTGTTTCAGCAAAATCAGTACCTCATGTATGAAGTAGCTGTCCTGCGGTGTCCTTATGGTTCCCATTGCAGGTTGGGATAGATATCATAGAGGGCAGTGTCTTTAAAAGTGCCCGGCTTCTTGTTTGAAGCAGCAAGTTTGCACATTTACCACCTATGAGTAAATAACAGGTCCCACAACTCGGTGCTTGAGCTGATCCATTCATCTCTGTCTTTATTTCTCCTGACTTTTGTAGAAATCCAGTACAACTGTAAGAGAGCAGTGCTGGATCAAAACAAAAGGCCTCTAGTACACTTTCTCTTCACTTGAGAATATGTACAACTTCTTCACCCCTGCTTTACTTTTAACCTTCTCCTCCATCATTATCTTGTGAGTGATATGTAACCATTAGCACATTATGGAAATGCTAGCCATTTTAATAGCCAAATAATATTCCTCTTTCCTCTTGTTATCCCCACAATCATTTCACTGTATGTCCAGATCTTCTATTTCCTGACTGGATGTATGTTGTGATTGAAGTCCATAAACAGCAATTGATGGCTTGGGCTTTATTATAGTAGTATGTGACAAGC